TGTTACTGACTGTGGCAGCCTTTTGTCCGTACAGCCTTTCTCAAACTTTTTTTCCCGCTTTCCAGTGTTGCTTGCTGTTGCTTTCTGTTCAGTGAGTGCGCATGCCCGAGTATCAGTTTATAAAGGGAAACGTGAGCTAAAGGGGAACTGGCTCTGATGTAACACCGGTAAGTGCCATGAACAGCTTGCAGAACATAAGGATTTAGGGCCACTGCAGCAAACCCTGGCTGACCGGTGATGCAGTCTACGACCTTGATGTCAAACTGAATAAAACTTAGTCAATGTTCAAAGAAATCCACTTTATTCATTCGGAATTCAAGGCATTTAAGTAATCAGGACTCGGGTTATATCGAATATGGACATGCTGAACAGATAATTAGAAGCTAGCTGTCACGGTTTTAGGGTATGTTCTATCGTTCAAATGTCTCTCCCACTCGCTGCTAATCATTTTCTGGCACTATGTTAACTCTTCGGCGGCTTGAGTCAGTGGCTCTTACTGTTAAGGCTCAAGACGCGCTGCCTGATCAGAACCACTTTCAGTCGTCGAAGATGGGGATGGTAATAGAGAAAATCGTCAGCCTCGTAAGACCTCTCCGTAGCTAACGTGCGCTAGTTCTAAAAACACAGCAGCCCAGCCCACCAGGTCCCCTCGCAGCCCCACCTCCAAACCTGTCGATCGCTGCAGTGCCCCTCCCATTTTTGAGCATTTTCCAAAGTTGATGGAGTTAGCTGAAAATAGTGGGGTGAAGTTCGTCTTTAAGGGGTAGCACAGCCATTGTCCATTTCTGTTGTAGGCATTGTAGACTGGAACGCTTGAGTAAACAATCCTCTCAGTTTTGTTTGGCTATGTTCAGTACAAGCCTAAGTTTGACTAATTTTAAATTAAAAAGAATTAAAATGATTAAATAATGTTTTATTCGTTAACAAAGATGGCAACCTGAAATCTGAAGAATTCTTGTAAATATCAGTTAGGCCCTCCAGGACACTACTGAAAATGGCTTGCGCAAACAAAATGTCTTGAAGAGATAGTCACTTAAGTCCTATCTATGACCATTCATACATTTGTTTAAATAACACTTGATGTAGCTAGCTATTCATTGATTAGCATAAAAGAGGTAATGTTATAGAACTGAGTGCTGTGAAGACCCTTAAAGGAAAAACAGAAAAGAAGATAGGAAGAACAAATGAGAAATATCATAAGGCTTGGCTAATAAAGCGTTAAACAGAAGTAAAGCAACTGGTTGAATCTGTGCCAGTTTGATTATTGTATTCTTATGTAAAAAAGTGCTTTCTGTTGTGTGCTTGTTTTCTTGCATACTTAAAGAATGCTTTGAACTTTCTAACAGGGTTTTTAGGCCTTGCTGAGTGATGTTCCAAAGTACCAACCCCAAAATAAGCATTTTAGTGGAACTCTCCTTTTAATTTTTTGTTTTGACCCTCAGGTCCAGAAGAGTCCTGTGTTTAGGAGAGATGGGGCAGATATCCATTCGGACGTTTTAATCTCTGTTGCTCAGGCTATCCTGGGAGGGACAGTCAGAGCACAAGGACTCTATGAGACCATCAACCTTGCTGTGAGTAACTCCTTTCCCCAGAAATGACATAGCATTCCTTTTATGCCAAAGCCTTCTCAGAGAATAGCATATTGTGAGGGAAACTGAAAATTACTTTACCATGGTGAAATGTTTTGTAGATCCCAGCTGGTGTTCAGGCAGACCAGAGAATGAGGCTTTCTGGAAAGGGAATACCACGAATCAGTGGCTATGGTTATGGGGATCATTACATCCACATTAAGATTCGAGTCCCCAAGTAAGACACTTTCTGTCTTAAAGCTTCCTCTTTGTCTTTAAATATCAAGTCTTGATTGAAATAATGGTCTTATACTCTGTGTCCTCTGCCAGAATGCTGACTGATAGACAGCGTGCCCTTATTATGAGCTATGCAGAAGATGAAACAGATGTGGAAGGAACTGTTAATGGTGTTACCACTACCACTACAGGTAAGAATTTCACACACACCCTACACCATAAATGCAAAGTGCAAATTGCTCTAATAAGCATAGTATTGAAGTGTCTTAAAAACCTGCCATTTTGGTCTATAATGCAATTATCTCTGCTGAAGCAAAATTGAGCTGGCTTGCATTGATTGTCTGAACTGGGGAAGCAATGGTAAAAAGTACCAGACCATTGGAGGGGGAGAAGAACCAAGAGGAACCAAATTAAAGAAAATACCCGCACATGCAGAACAAAAATCATCCAGCAATCAGTCCTTTCATGCGATGTGAAAATCAACTTGTGCGAACTGCTGCTGTAAACTTGGAGGACAAACAGTAAATTACCCCTCTTTCATAGAAGAGGTTAAACTTTGAATTTCTACGCTTGTTTTAATTGTGGAAGTTGATCAAACAGAGAAAGGAAAGTTTTTTTTCATTCACTTGATATGGAGAATGTTGCTAGTAAAGCCAAAATTGAGATATTGTAATGCTGAATAGAAACACTCTCTATTGAAGCTTTTGTTTCATTTTGGTGAACCTGTATGATTAAATTCATGTCTGATAGGAGTGTGTGTAAATTTAAGCAATGTGAAAAAAAAAGCTTGATTTGCCGTTTATTAACCAAAACATTTATCAATGTCATCTATGACACCGGAACATTGTATAAAAATAGAAAATAACAGTAATGCTAATGATCTGTGCATGTGGCAATCCAGTACAAAAGTAAGATATACTTACTTGACATGCACATTGATATAAACAAATGGTGCAACAGTTCTGTATTCCATTTAAAGACATATTACACTGTGCTTTTGTTTTATAGTACGGACACCAACCAAAACACAAACAATATAAAACACAGCTAATGCAAAAACATCTCATCGACTACAATAATACAGGATTTAAATATGTTATGTTATTTTAGGAAAATAATCACACTACACAATAACGCACATCATTCTACAATTAAAAAAATGTTTTATAGCAAAGGTTATTCTTTTCAGTCACTGTAATTTTAAACACTATAAGGTTTGGTCAGTAGGGCCAGCAGTGCATTGATTCCTTAATATGGAGTTAATTTTGTGCCAAAATGTTTGAGAGAAGATCATGACGTTTAAGAGAGGAATGTTCCGGTACCACAGCCATGAACGTACCTTGACCAATTGGCATAAAGCTGCTTAAGAAAAGATGCCATGATTGGTGCACTGACAGGAACAGCCCCTCGACAGCTCTGATTGGCTGGAGTTTTGACACAAACGTTCAGACATTTTACACAGATGTGAAACTCGAGAGCGTCCTGTGGAGTTGAGAGCAGAGATGATTTGCGCGTACATACGAGTTTTGAAGGTGAAGAGTACGATTGAGCAAGTTTCGAGTTTTGAATGAAAACCAGTGTTTTGCAGGTACGAGCTCTGAAAGGAAATGCATTATTGTGCAGATTTTCAAGTTTTGAATGAAACCAGAATGTTTTGTTGAGCAAATCCGAAGGTGTTTACCTGCACATTTCATGCTGACAAATGCATTGAAGTTCATTAGCCGCGCGCTCAGAACGCCACTGTCTTCTCAAACCGGAACGTTCCTCTCTCAAACATCATGATCTTCTCGTAAACATTTTGGCACAAAATTAACTCCATATCTTAACCTCAGAATCTACCTATGAACACAGCTATTGGCTCACAGGCTGCAGAATGTTTTATTGGCCCCCTACCAAAACATTTTGCATGAATTAGGGTGTGCTTCATATTTGTAAATTAAATGCTGGTTGGCTGGCGCTAAATTTCACGCACTAAAGCTGAAACAGAGTATTTAGTACATCATTAAAGATGGTAAAATCTGTACTTTTTAAACACAACTTTAATGAATATGTCCCCAAGTGTGTTTTGCTGTTCAAACTGCTAGATAAAACACAGGTCTGTGTTGCATGAAAGGAAAACAACAGATTTGGGCCACTTTGAACATATCCTTAATAAAAGCCATGCTGGGATCATTCGTCAGCAGAATGTTGCAATTTGCTTTTGAAGTGTTTGACTGTTTCCTGTTTCTTAAATGTTGCTGTGAGACCGATCTTTGCCAGCTGCATAGATATGGTTCCACAGGTTTACAGAACACTGATTCATATTGGTCTTCTTTTTCTCAGGTAAAAGATATACAGGAAACTAGGAGACCAGGAGACCTGTATGTGTATGTGGTGAAGAGGATCCAGGGTAGTTGCAACAAAATGGCTATGAGAGACTGCTATATGGACATGCAGAAATACAAGCAAGAGAGAGTGTGGTGAGGTTGGCTACCACATTGACCTCATGATTTTTCCCAGCCATATCACAGCAGACAGGTGTGGGTACACCGTTTAATGACAGGACTGCTGGCTTCTCAGACCCTTGGAAGAGGATGATGTTATAAAAGGCCTTAGGTTATAGTAACCGTTATCTGGCTAGCTAGATATGCAGTATCTTCTAGTCTGCAGTAATTGTGGAAGGATTTCAGCTGGCCTCTTGAGGAATTCTTGGAACCCTTAAACAGATCTTCTCATACATGACCTGGCTTCATACAGAATTAAGTTTCATTTAAAATGATTTTGGTCATTGTGTGCCCCATTAATGGAACCTTCCTTTTAAAAATATACACTTGTCCTTTATTCCAGAATGTGCTTTAAGAGGCCAATTGTGTTTTCATCTATGCTCCCAACATGTCTGGGACTAAGAGTGAATAGTGGCCGCCAGGTTGTATTCAGGTGTAACAATATTAAATTTCCCTACAGAGATTGTGTATGTTTAAGTTCCTGAGAGTGCCCTGTCATTTTCAGACCTTAGATCATACTGAAAAGAAGGTGGAATAACCTCTGTTCTGCCTCACAAGCTCTGTAAAATAGCAGTCGTTATTTAAAGCTTTCAGTGCGTCACTGTTGAGATATCAGTGATATATAATAAAATTCAACATGTATGACAGGTGTATATTAATACTGTTTTGGAAAATGTGCAGATTTAGAATAAAACAGGAACACAAAGTAGGGTTGATTCAGGTAAATCATGATTTTATTCTTCACAGACTCAACTCTTGGTTGTTAAAATTAAGTTTTGGAAGGACAGGCTTAGAATTACATGTTTTATTAGTAGAGACCCTTGTCAGCAATAACAGTTACTTATCCAGCTATTAATGTTAACTGTTCCGTTACATTGTAGTCCTCAATACAATGTCAGTGCAATATGTAGGAATGAATTAATGAACAACTGGTCTATTGCTTCTGGAAGCTGCTGTGGGTATGTCACACTGTGTTGTAATAAAACTCTATGGATGTTTGATCTTTTATTGCCTGATCATTTTGCCAAAGTGATTCATTCAACAATGTTCATAGCATTTATTTCCTAGGAGCCAACTGGCCTGAACTTGTGAAAAAGCCTTTTGGAAAAAAGGATACATAGGAATGTCAGTAACACATGCAACCTAGGAGGTATTCTACAAAGTAAGATTTCTTAGCAGTGCTAGATAACTAAGCCCAAAGTGAGGATTATCTTGTATGAATGTTTATGTTTAGACAGACTTGATCTAGCTAGCACATAAATCGCACTGTAAAATGTACCCCTGATCTTTTCAGTAAATGTAAACATAATCCTACAGTTATGCACCTTCAAGAAAAACACAATAGCTCTCAACCTCAATAGAACACACTACCACAGATAGTGTTTACATGGCATGAACAAAATCCAAAGTATCCATTTGTGCTTTAGATTCATGGGAAAATGGAAACTATAAACTGAAGTTCACAAAGAGGAAATCTGCATGTGGCTCATCCTTTGGTTTCAAAATGTCACATTTCATACTATTCATTTATTAAAATACATGACCAGAAACTAATTACAAAAAGAAAACTGACAGCCAAAAGAAACTCAGTCATACTAATTAAGATGCTGTATAGTAGTGCACTCCTGAAAACTCAATGTGCAAAATAGAAGCAGTTTGTGAAGACTTTCTTTTAGAACTTCAGCATTAATGTACTCAAGAAGACCACCAGCCCATTTGACATACACAAGCAGTAACTATATCAAAAACCATTTTGTTTATATCAGCTTCATAAAAAATGGAACATTTATTTTTGAAAAAAAATACTGTTAACAGTGGTTTTTACATCTAGAGATCTGTGTAAATATGAAGGGAACAATGTGACAACTTGTCCTCTAACTAACTGAAAAAATCATGGTACAGGAGCTAAATGGCATGTCAAACAGAACGATCAGTGGCCTGTTATGTAAAAGGATGCAGAAAAGGACAGTTAACATACTCCGTCCAGTGCAACATAACTGCATAGCATTCTGCTTAAAACTGCATCAGTCAGTCACATACTGTCAAAAATATCCTTTCCATGGAAGCATACTGGGGAAAAATAATTATTACCAATGTATACTCATTTAACTCAATACACTCATTCTCATTTCACTGTCAGAATAACTATTCTAGTCAAAAGATCTTTAGGCTCATCCATTACAGTCATTTTGGGTGTAGCACTGTCACCTGCTATAAAAAGTAGTAATGTGATTCTTTATACATAAAGCTAGACAAAATGAAAACCATCATTAGCTATGCATTACAAACTGAACTGGGTGTAATGGTGGTTAGGTTTACAGTAAAATTCGGTCACTATATGACCATTTCAAGTAAGTAAACTGAACTGTAGAACAATCCAAACCAACAGGGCCCTTCCTTTATTAATGTCCTCTTAAAATACAATCTTTTATATTAACTGTTATTACAAGAAATACTAGATACCTTTAAGCGATTATCTGCCCTGCAGATAAACTAGGTCATGCATAACAAAGTCTTTTATTTAAAAAGCAGGTTCAGGAGGCAGGAATGACTTACAGTGAATCTGGATCAATTAGCAAATAAAATTTACACATTTACTAAAACTGTTAGTAAGTGAGCCTGGTCTATATGGAAGCATATCGGTATCAAAACTAAAATGGAAATGTAATATGTAAAATGGCAATGTATTTGTATGTTTGCAATTTAAAAAAGAAGCTGGCAAATAGGAAGCCAAGTTTAGCCTCATTTTTATCAACTAGACCAAAAAACTTCGCCACATGATCAGTTAAACCATTTTTTATGGAGTCATGTATAAAAGACATTTAGCATCAAAATTGGCTATATTTCTCTTCTTCGCCACATCTGCTAAGATGAGAGTAGCTACAAACTCTTCAGCTGCCATGTTTTTAGATTGGCCCTGCCCTGACAGCATGATTGACAGGTTGGGAAGTCTGTGAAAATGAAAATTCAATCTGATGACACAGAATGAGCACAGTAGGCAAGAATATGTAATTGCAAAGAGGTGCTGTTCCACCATTTACATTTGAATCTGCCCTTTTCTAGCTTTGTGCTTTTTTTGATAATGCAATCTAAATTAATTATTAAGAGTGTGATAAATGCACATAAGATAAATTCTGTTTTATCATTTGACATAATTATTGCATAATCACATTAAGCATAAATATGCAGTTCCAGAAATTTTGCATTTTAATTTAAATAAAGCTACTCATTAACCATGTAGATGACCGTTGAGCTCAAACACTGCAAATATGAGTGGGAAATTTAAATGCAAACATACAAATACACTGCCATTTCACATATTAGTTTGTTTTAGTTTTGATGTGCTTCCATAGGTCTATAACTAAATCTGTTATTTTAATTATAATATTTTATCCAAGTAACTGTTCTGGTAATTTTCAACTTAATATGAAGAGTCTCAATAGGATTAACTACATCTTCATTCAAAATAACCTATGCTACCTTCCATATGAAGACACTGAGTAAACACATGAATATGGAAATCAGTGGGCAAACAACCAAAAGGCAGATGTAACACAAAAGATTTTAAAGGTAGAAGTGGATGAAGAACGTGCCTATTAGACACAAAGCAAATCCTCTATGTAACTCATTTTTTATAGGTCATCCTTCAAGTCTGACACTAGTAGTAGAAGTATTACCGTTTCTCTTAAAACCACAATTTGAGCAGAGGGAGAAGTGTTCCTACATCAGCATAAAATATTAAATTCTACACAGGTTTTCTTCGACCAACGGATGAATGGATCAAATGAGGTACCAGGCAGCCAATCCAGCAAGGGCAGCAATCCATGCAGCCAACAGAACTTGACCTGTGGGGTTTCTGAGGAAGGCCAAGGCCATTTGACAAACATATGTTGATCCTCCACTGGCAGCTACAACAGGAAAGAGGGTAGAAAAACAGATGCATGAAAAAACACCACTACCTTAACAAAGTCACTTCAGCAGGTTCAACAGTCATTTGGCAAATGTTTGTAAATGCTGCAGATGTATCCAGATTAGTTGTCAGATCTTGCTTACCCATCTTGGCAGCATAGTAAGGGCATTTGCTAATGTCTCCTTGCATGTCACCATGGATTGGACCTGCATCTAAAACATCCTCCTGAATAGTTTTTCCAATCTCCTCCAGCTCCTGGAAAATCTGCATTAAAAGCAGAATTAAAAAAAAAGAAAAATCAGGTGGAAGCAGAGATTTAGGGTTACGTTGATTTTAAGGCACATTAAATGATGGGCTGAATCTCAAATGGGTCTTTAAACCTTATAGTACATTGGGCAGCCTGCAACTGTGGAGTGCAGTGTGCCACGTTCCACATTTCATTTTTCAGCACTTCTAGTACGTCATCTGGGTATTCATAGCACACTACGTCGCTCTTCATGTTCTAGTGTGAACACACTACTTGCACTAAAAGTGGCTACACTACTAGGCACTATGAAAGAACTCAACTTGAGACACAGTGAGGGTCCTTACACTGAAACCCAAGTTTTTAATATTGACAGTGTCACAGCTATCCATGGTCAGTCCAAGACAGCATAAATGGCCCTGCTGTAGTCCCATAGGGGCCAGACGGAATCTTGTAACAAGAACATCTGGGGACAATCACGAGAAATTTTGGGTTAAGAGTGGGAGGGAATGTAGACATATTACAGGGAGAAAAACAGTGTGAAATTTCTAAACCAATCCAACACCTTATTAATGTAGAGTTCCAAATAGATGGTGTGCGTGTCAACATTGACAAACACAAATCTGTTAGCACAGCTGAGAAGTACCCCCAAAAAACTCCACATAAGCTTGTAGATGTGTGTTGCATGTGCAGAGAACGTTACATGCAGTAAAAAAAACATTATCTCTTGCAAGGGAAAACAGATCTGTCCAGCTAACAACAGTCTTTTGCGAGTTAACTCGGTTTGCTTGTGTTATTGAATGGGCTCTATATTAAAACACACACTAGAACTAAAATACTAGAACACTGCACTATCTTGCCGCAGCAGCAAAAGTTTTACAAGTTGTCCCCAGACATGTATTCTCATTACAATATCACATCCAGCCCCACACACTAGCCCTGCTGCTGCTCTCTGAGTGGAAAGGAAGTACATTCAGCTGTCCTACAATGCTGCATGAGTGTCAGCTTGAAAAGATCCAGTAGCTGGCTTCATGTGTCATGGCGCAAGCATAAAGTTAACACTCATCCTTCTATCATGCGTGCGATAAGAGAGACTTGGTGGGTGGGAAATGACATTGTTGAGGAAACTGACATTGGTGAGGAAATACCAAAAAAAGCAAAAGCATATAGTTGCAAGTGAGGGATGCTAAATGAGGATGAGTGAGGGCTCACATTAGTCCATAATCTGGAAAAAAAAAATTCTAAAATAGTGGGTCCAAATACTCCTATTTTGATGTGGTAAGCACACATGCTTGTGATGAGACACGTCAATAATATTTGACTGCGAAACAAAACAAACATGATGACTTCTTTTAACTGCTCTTATCAAATAAAAAAATGCATTTATATCCTCATACCTCCATGTTGAACTGGAAGGCCAAAATGGCCTCCTTAACAATCCTCTCCTTGGTGTCAGTGTCCAGCTCCAGTTCATTCATGCGGCTCCGGTACAGCTGTTTGAATGCCTTAGCACTGTGGATGCCATCAAATTGGTAGAACTTGAGCCCTTCCCCAGTAGGCGGCAACTTCAGGGCACGCTGTGCCACCTTTTTCAGCACCTGACCCCCTGAGAGGTCACCCATATAGCGAGTATAAGCATGGGCCACCAGCAAGACAGGATCATCTTGCCCGACTTCATGAATGCGGTCCACATAGTGCTGAGTGGCTGGGGAACAGCTGACCTGGTTCTGCCAGTCCTCTCCATAGAAATACTCCAGGTCCTGGGCCAACGCCTCATGGCGATGCAGCTCATTGGGAAAGTAGAGTGGGGCAAAGTTGGGGTGATCCTTGTTCCTCTCAATCTCTGCTTCCATGGCTGTGTAAGTGTAGTACAGGGCCACTGCCCCAAGCTGCGGATAAACCAATATTGTTTATTTATTTATTTTTATTATTATTTTTCAGAACTGTAGGTGTGATTTTTTTTTTAAAACTCCACACTGTAGGTCATTTCTGAATAAGAAGACAAAAGATAGAAATTTTTCTATATTCACATCCTTTTTAGCTGGAAAATGAGCTAGCAATGAGAATTGTGGAAAGTGACTTGATGGTTCTGAACAGGGAATTGAAAGCCACCAATGTAAGACAACTCTGCAAAACACGAAGTATGCACTGGTGATACAGCGGTAAATAAGTACTTTAAGATGTAGCAAATATAGGCATGTAAGGAGAAGCATAAAACTTTGGTTGCCATCATCTCACCACTGCATTACACCTCAAAGAGTCTACTTTTGCTAAGACACTGGAAGACAGCCTAACTCACTGGCTTTCACTTCTCTCTTACAAAGAAATGAGTCACATGCCTGCTCATTCCCTGTTAGCTTGTTGCCAGCTTTATAGGATCTAATGAAAGTTCACTAAATTCCTCTACACTGTCTTCACAGTAAGAAACCACTTCAACTATGTGTGCCTCTTTAACAGTACGAAACTGTGGAGTCATTTTACATTTAAAATCTAACCTTAAAGAGCTCCTTGCGTATGCGCCCCCGAAGGAAATCTTTGACAAACTGTGTGTTTTCAGCCTTCTCGTGAACTTCTTTGGTCCCTGCTGCCAACATCTCAGAAAGATCTTCAGGTCTGTAACACAATGTTTTGTTAAGCCGACATAAATGATGACTTTGTCTACTCAAACATACCAATCAGAAAAAAAGCAACAGATAAGACTTAATTATGACATTCTAATATGTTTTCTCCATGTAACTGTCAGAAAAAGAAAACAGTACCTCACATTCTCATTTCCCTCTTTGTCCTCATATACAAGGCCACTGCCATTTGCTGCACTCGTTCCAGAGTGTTCTGTCTTCACAGCAGACATCTCTGACATTCTGTCTCCACTGACTGGTAAATTATCACTAGATTGTTACTATCAGCATAAAAGATAGAACATGTTATTAAAGCAAAAACACTTCATCAAAATCAATACTGTGAATCCAATATTCACTGATTCAGAGTTAAGATGAGTCTAAATCTGAAAGATTATGTATATCAAAAGGAAATTCAATATTACTATTTAAACCAAAGCTCAAATGCTCAAGGTTGAAGCTTTCAGTACAATCATGTAAAAAGATTACAATCTTTATCAGAACATAGTCTGGCTTATACAATTAGGAACAGGCTTGATCCTGATAACGCAAAGACATTTATGTAATTAATAAGTCCTAAAAGTTACCAGTACATGAACATACTTCTAAAACATGATCACCATCTCCAGTATGTTACCTTTATCTCGAGATGTTGCGCAGAACACAGGTTTGTGGTCAGAAGAAAAAGCTCTCCTTGTAGTGTTATTGATAGCGATGTACAAGCATCCACAGTCCAGCTGAGAGCTCCTCTACCTTACAAAGATATATGGAATACCGCAGTTAAACAGACAGTTGAATGAGTGGGAGTAAATAAGAGAAACAGCTGACACAGTATGAACAGCAATGGCAATAAAAGGGGAAAACGTTCTATCCCTAAGGCGTCACTGAGGCCAGTAACAGGCCTGTTTACAACACAACAGTTTGAGCTAAGCATGCGAAGTAGAAACATAACAACAGAACAATCACGACCAAAAAACATTTGTTCTAGTGTTTGCCACTTACAGTGAACAGTGAATACGAGGAGACAGCTAGGTAAATCAGACGCTCTCTAGCTATTTAGCTACCACATTTGATTATTTTTACAAAGTGCTTGGCTAGGGGTAAGGACACCACTCCGCAACGCTTCACAGATCTGGAGGATCTGGATGGCAGTAAAATAAGCAGATCAATCAGATGGCCAACGTCACTATCTGCGGTTAATCAGTTTATGAAGCAGTTCGTCAGCTGGTAGGTTAGCAGGTAATGTTAACTGCATAACCAGAAATATAGCCAGCTAGTTAGCTAACTAACGTCAGCTAGCCGGTTAACCGTTTAGTTTACTGTAATTAACAGGATTAGCAAGAGCTGCTTTAGCGATATGAAGCTAAATTCCTAACGTTAGCTAGCTAGCCAAATTAGCGGTTCCCAGTCGCCTTTGTTGACATGGAGAACTCGCAATGATCAGCTATAGCCTGCTCTATAGTTACAGCCACACAAGCTGAATAAACACGTGTGTAACATATGTTACTTGTAAATGTGATGCTCACCAGAGTAAGTAAACATGCTTACCTTTAGTTTCTACTTCGTATTTCCAGTTTAAACGAGGGCAGCGCTTATTCGCCAGTTTGATACCACGTGTTTGTCAAGCGCAGCTTCAGTAGGACGCTGTGCGGCCAACAAATCATACACATGCTGAAATTTTAGAACATGATTTGTAGATCAGCGAATATGTGAGTCTAGGAATATGGGATGATTGAAGACACATTCAGTGTGCATTTTTTATTCTTGAAGAATACAGTCTCTTTATTGATTGTTTTCATCCATAAACGTTTGTAACAAACGGCTGTGCTATAATATGATTCGAGCTTTAATTTCACTTGTTACCATCCTGAGCTGCTTCTACTATTTAGACAGGTAAACACAGCAACACTGTAGTAAATAATCCATACAAATATGTGCTTAATGCAGATTACACAATCACATTTTATTGTAATTATTTCCATCATAAATATTATGAATTGTGCATAGTTTTGCTAAAAATAAATTGCGTAATTGCTATGGAAAAGAAGGATTTCCAAATCCAACACGATCCTGCAGCTCTCTGATCTCCTGTAGTAGTGGCTCATCTGGGAAACTGAACTGTGGGGTCAAAGACAAAAAGTTCATTTTATCCAGGAGGTATTTTATATTTTACACACAAATCTAATTGCCTTTCTGAGTGCTTGCATGCATATTAAGTATATAACTTTTTTAATTGTCACTTTATTGAGTAATCAAGTAATAAATATTCATCCAGATCAGGGGTGCCCAATCTTTATGCTTTCTGAACTCTTGTAGTCCACCTGTCCTGCACAGTTCCATGAACTCTCTGCACATCTAGTACACCTGATTCACCTAATGAAGGGCATGGAAGTTATCTAATAATCTAATAATTCAGCCAGTTTGCATCGTAGTTCTGGTAGTTACTAAATTATAAGCCTAAAATGTTAAGGGATTAAAGAGCGCCGACCTTTAAGGCGTATTTGTATGACTGCTCAGCCTCCAGTTTCCTTCCAGTCTGAAAAAACATGGTAAATCTAATGTTAAGTAAACAATGTTTTTAGACAAGAATGGTCTTTGTGTGATTACTGCTATTCCACTTTGACTCACCTGTAAACAAACCAATGACAGGTAGCCCCAGACCTTTGGGTTTCTATTATTGAGGGTGTTGGCTTCAGACAGGGCATCCTCTGCCTCAGTCAGTTCCCCAAGCTAATTTAGCAGCAGAAGCAAACATGCATGACTTAAACATGGGAACAGTGCAGTGAGCCAAAGCAATTAGATGTCATCCAGCTACATCATAGCAAGCATATCATTAGGACAAGATAGAGTTTCAAAAGTGGTGCTACGATTTATGGCCAAAGGCTTTCACCACAAGCTACACTAAGTTGACATGCCAAGTTAAACCGATATACTGCCAGGCAGGAATTTGGCTGAGGGTGTCTAAGTTATTTATATCAAGTTTCTGTCTGAGAAGTTCAGACTACACTGCCCTACATTCAGTCCTACACTGGGAAAGAAATCATACCTCCTTAATATAAACCTCTTATTTGGACATCTGGACATGGTGTTTAATTCAGAAAATTATAATACTGGTCAACCAAATTCACTTGCTGAGTATTTAAAGGCTTAGCTACAATAGAGACGCTTTACAGATGATACCACTCATCTGTGATTTCACCAGGGGCTAATTTGGAATTTAAGAAGTGGGGTAGCCAAGCACATTAAACATCAAATTACATTTCAAGTTTCAAATTACAAATTTAGTTTCTAGCCCACATTATGTATGACGACATAGTTGACCCAATTTTACTTGTCATGTCATACACACTTGTTTGAATGTGAAAATCAGCCTACCAAGAATAGGATCATATCACATATACATACAGTGCCAAAAGAAAAACAAAAACAAATAATCATGGATTGTTAGAGGAGAATGAGGATGCAACAGGTACATGGATTTCATGATGAATCCATAATGAATTATTTAAATTTCCATCGGATCATTATACTGGAACTCAGCTCCTCTTCAGGGATGCACTGATAAGGGAATTGTGGAGTGATGCTAATATCTGACATTTTTCAAGGATAGGTCTGCTGATGCCAATGCATAAACATTTATAAAATGTAGAATTTGAAAGTACGTTTACCTGGATTTGCATTATAGAGAAACATATTTTTATAGGATTAAAAGTACAGTAAAATAAATAAATTGCAGACATATGACACAGTAGCATGCATTCGCCTAAACATTCTGCTCTTTCTGAGTACAATAAATACATCACCAAATGCCAGTCTGACACATCTGTTATCTGTCTAAACATCTATCCAGTGGCAATATTTTTTTCATCTGCTTATACCAATACGCTTCCAATATCATTGTGTATCCCTACTCTTTTACGTCATTGACTTAAACCTAACATAGTGCGCTCCGACACAGTTTAACCCCTGGATCTCACTGTCTCTTGTGGTTGTGGAAATAATGAAGAACTTACCCTGTAGCAAGCAATGCCCAGACCTAGCCAAGTCAGACAGGAGGGGGAGCTCTTGCAGGCACGAAGGTATGTGGTCTTGGCTTTTTCATACTGAAATGGATTGTGAACAAACAAATCAAACTTTACATTTAAAGCCTTATACTAGATGAAATGCAGAACAAACTGCACCTGTGAGCCAAATGTCATTATACCTCTCTGCTTTGCAAGTAGATGGAGCCCAGACGGAGGTAAACAAGATGTGTGTCTGAGGCGTCCATCACAATGTCCAGTGTTCTCTCATAGCACTTTTGAGCTTGATTATAATCCTTCATCAAGTATTTTAAATGACCAAAAAGCGCCCATGCATCTGGATTCTAGATAGTATGGAAAAAGATGAGTATAACATTAAAGGCTATGAACCTAGTATTTTGTATGGGCAAAGAGCACCTTCCCTAGCTTCTTAAACTTAAAAGTTTACTTCATCAGCACAAAAATAATATTATCACAATGAACGCATTACCTATTAGTTAGGTAAGACTAATAGATAGAAAAAAGACTAATAGATTAGAGTTCAGCAAAGCTGTTGTAGTCAGCTTAAGAAAGCTATTGTGGCATTAAACAAGCATTGAAGATGTTATATTATACAGAACTCTGTAGCACAGTGTGGTGTCCCTCAGCTTCACTGGTTTTTCAGAATTCACGTTACTGTTCAACAAAGTTCTCTCACTACAGTACCTAGCATGTATTTTGCAAATGCATTATACAACCACAGGAAATCCTAATCCTGATTGCTAGACTAGCCACTGATCTATAGGCTAATAAAAACAACTGAGCTAGCATTAGTGTAACTCTTACTTCGGTCATTGAACAAGAAGCTTCATTCATGTAAAAGATACCTGCAGAATGCACTATACCTAGATGTGGAAAATATTTAAAGGCCAACACTAAAGCCAGGGCAGTTGGCTTAATATTGTATAACGCCCTTATCCCTCACACAGGAGTCCATCCAAACAGAGTCCATGAGTAAGATAACTAAGGTTCTTATCACACTGAATAGGACCATGTGCTAAACATGCAAAGATGTTGTTTTTACCATTTGCTTGTAAAATATCAAACTGTGCAAAAATCTACCCCAAAACAGTTTTTCAAAAGTTCCTTTCACCTTCAAGATACGTTGCTAAAAGTCTCTAGGAGGTGAATAGGCATGTTTGCTACAGATGTAGTGATGGTTGTGTTTTTCATGTTGGCTGGAGTGTTCCTTTAACCCCTCAAAACCCCAGTCCTATTACATACTAAGCCTTATTATTCAGTAACTACAGGTACTTCATTGCAAAGTGGTTGAGGTATTCTTAGGTTCTAGAAGTGTGTAATAAAACTTTGGGCCTGCCGGGGAGCTCTGGCCCTTTAAGGGGTTAAAGGAGTCTTCATACACCAGGTGGTGCTGGTGAGCAACTCAGAACCAATTTCAGACAAGTGTATGCAAGATGCACAGTAGCTTCTTTTCTCTGCAAAACTCTGTTGGGTAGCATTAAGGCTGTTGAGGTTTTCCAGAGGATACACACAGCATACCTGGAAGCTGTCATTGAGAGCCTCCTGCAGACTAGCCTCAGCACTGCTGTACTGTCCTTGGAGGAGTTGCACTTTGGCAAGGGCGAGATGATATGAACTGCTTGGACCCTCATCTGGACACAGCAGCTCCTGAGCCAAAGCCCTCTGGGCCATCTTGCACACACACAAAAAAATAATACCTCTAAATATAATTTCAAAATGAAAAACAATAAAATTTCGATGAAAAACATTTGGGAACCCCAGGACAAATTACACATTTTGTTGATTTATGAAGTGAAAAGAAGTAAATAGAACCTAGTAACCTATTTAAAAAATAGCAAATACCTGTACATGTAAATGCACAGTTATTTTATATGTGATGAATTTAATAGAAAAAAAATATTAGTTGTGGCATGTGCAAAGGTTTGGACACCCTAAGTCAGCTTGCATATGCTTTGCAAGTCTTTTTATTTTTATTTTAGAAATTTCACGCACTCTTCCTTGCTGAATGCTTCTAATTCTTGGGCCATCTTGCATGAACAGCTTGTTCAAGATACCCCCACTGATTTTCAATGATGTTCAAGTCAGGAGACTGTGAGGGCCATTTCAAAAGCTACAGCTTGTGCTCCCTAAAGTAGTTCATAGTGGATTTTGAGGTGTGTTTTGGATCATTGTCCTGTTGCAGAAGGCATCATCTTTTCAGCTTCAGTTAACAGACAGTGTCACCTTTACTTCAAGAATTTGCTGATATTTAGTGGAATCCATTCTTCCATCTACTCATGCTCTGACATTTCGGTACAGCCTTTCCCTGCTTTGTAGGCATAAATTACCTTCATTTTCAGATCCTCTGCCAGCTGCTTAAAAGAGTCTATGGTTGTTGAGTGTTAGCACAAGGTTTTAAGAGACAGAGGATCGATTACACTCTATAACAATTCTTGACCTGCCTAACCAGTCCTAATAAATCTATTAAGGCCTAATGAATTAATTACGTTCTGCATGTACTTGCCTTCACCTTGACAGGTAGGACAGACCTACCTATCAGGCAGAATTGACAAGTACTAAATTGGGGAGAAAATGTGTTTTAAGACCTCTGTCATATCAGTTCCTAAAAAGCAGCAGATCTCCTGCCTGAATGACTACAGACCAGTTGCACTAACATCTGTAGTCATTAAGTGTTTTCAGAGACTTTTACTTCAGCTCCTCAAAATCATGACTTATGCTCTTCAGGACCCTCTGCAGTTTGCATATAGAGCCCATATTTCACATTTCTATAAATTGCAAGATGTAGATCTTTCCTACATCTTGCAACACCTGGATGGCCCTAACACTCGTGTCCGTGTGCTGTTTGTTGACTTTAGCTCCGCTTACAACATCATTCCTGACCTTCTACAGGATAAATTGTCTTCTGCACATCTTTTTACTTGCAGTTTGTTTGCGTACTATCTGTTTCATGTTTCTATAGTATATTTTTTCTCTATTTATCAAATCTATATTTGATATATAGATTTCATTTCATGTTGACAACTGCACTAAGAGAAATTCCTTGTACACTTGGTACTTAACGAATAAAAATTCTGATTCTGAAAAAAAAAAAAACAAACAAAAAAACTCCAAAATACTTCTTGGCTAAGCGATTGCAATTAGGGGAATGAGAAACTTAATTTCATTTTTCATTGAACTATCATTTAATTGAGCTGCAGTAACGTATTATGAAAAAGCATTCAGACAAAAACATAGAAGACAGAAACGTAGGACTATGAAGTGTGAAGTGTGAATTAATTGACATGCATAAAACTGTTGAAATATCTGTTGCAAATACTGTAGATTTATTATGATCAACAGGTGTGAATAGGCCTGCACATTAGCTAAAAAGCTAATAGTGTGCTGTGGTATGTTGTGTGGCTTTATTGCTCACCTGTAAGGCATAATTCTGCAGCAAAAACGTCACTGTCTCCATATAGATAGTGGTACTGAGTCTGGTGGAGGACTGATGTTGTAGGACAGCAAGTTTAGGATCAGCATTTGCATTGTAATCTTCTTCTGTTATAATCATCTGTCTGCTCTGAGCCTCAAGCTCTTCTTTATCCCCATCCACTTCCACAGCTGAAACATAGAAACTGTTAGCAAAACACCAGCTACAGTGAGGTATATATGTCCTCTTGTTTAATTTGATATGACAAAAAAAACTAGCAAAGGCATGACTGACCAGTTTGGTGTGGCTAAAAAGCAGCTCACCAGGTTTGTCCACTGGTTCAGCCAGAGACTGGCTAAACTTCACTTCCTCCTGCCCTCCACCCTCTGTGGGGGTCTGAGTGTCATGCACCATCTCCTGTCTGCACACTGGACTGCACACCACGGCTGCCCTCAGTTGCTTGGTGGCTTCTGCGAAAGCCATTTCAGCTCGGATGAAGTTCTCCTGTGCCAGGTAGAATAGGCCTGTACACATTCAACCAGTAATTTTGGTGATAAATGGTATGTGAAACCTACTATGTGAAAAGGCAAGTCACTGTCAAAGAGACCATGAAGTCTTTTTGTTAACATTCACATGAAACCAAGAAGAATGCAGTCATATGCAGAAGTCTGCGAAAATAAATACACATTTTTAACAGAGAACACACATATGCAGATTTTAATGCACAATTCCAGGTTATTTGCTGATTTCAATATATTAGGGAAAATGTAAAACATAAAATGTAGCCTGTGCAGAAGTTATGGCACATTTTATATTAAATTTTTTTCCAATATAAAAAAAGAAAATTGTGCACTAAGGTTGACAGAAAACTGCTATATTTAAATTGCTAGAGGATGTTTTAACTTATTTTTACTTAGAAAAGCAACAAAATGTGCAATTTGATCAGGGGTGTTCTAACATTTGCATGCGATCGTATAAAAGAAATCCATACATCCTTTAATAATATGTTAATGTGTTCTGAATCCGTCTCAGTCATTTAAAATCAAGAGGTTATAATTTAATTTCATTCACTATTCTTAATAACTAAAGCCACGTGGGCAAAATAAATACCAACTCATTTTTGTTTATTTTGCCCCTTTGAATAATTTTGTACGTCAATTTCCCACAAAGTTATTCTGTCATAATTATAATCAAGTTCCTAAAGAAAAGAAATGTCTTGTAAATACCTTAAAGTAGATTTCTCACTTCTTTGTGATCTTACCAAATAAGGTCCACGCAACTACACAACTCGGCTCTATACATGTGGCCCTCTCAAAAAAGGTCTCGGCATCCTCATAACGCCCACTCATCTCTGACAGAATCCCACACATAAGCAAACTGCAAAGAGACGGGCACAAAAGTAACATTTCTTAACGTTTCCCACATAGTCCTCAAATTTTCCAGTTTTTTTCAAATGGGTTGGCTTTTTATGGACACAACTAACGTGTTTTATTAATCCATTCAAAGTTCACTCAATTCTTGATTGAAACAAAAAATAACTATACAAGAATAGTTTGTAATATTTAAATCCATATATATATACAAAATAACAAAAATAATTAACATAGCAAGTGATTTAGTATGGAGGTGTAAGTGTGATCTGTGTCCATGAAAACCAGTCTTTACATAGAATAATATGTGCAGTTTCTGCACAGCTCCTTTCTCCTACCTGGGTACATTTACTTGGTTGATGGATACAGCCATTTGGAAACACTCCTCAGCCTTCGGGTAGTCAGCCGTCAGCATGTAAAAGACTCCGTAATCAAACCAGTGTGACGGATTGCTCCAATCTTGAGCCAGCTGCTGCATTGAGAGAGTGAAAAGAGGCTTTTGGCATTTAGTCTGCCACATGAAAACTCTTGTCAAAAGGCAGCAAAAGTGAGACGTACCTCCTGGTAATACTGAGCAGCCAGCTGGTATTCCTCATTAAGCTGGGCCTCTTTGGCAAAATGTCTGAGCTGACTGCAGTCCAGCGGTGGCTCAGGTTGGACTTCCGGGGCATCAGCTGAAAGGGTCTGCAGAAAGATCATAGTAAAAAGCATAATCTCCGTTCTACTGCAAGAGTATTTTCAGTCAACAGATGTTCTGTTCTGTTACTAAGTACAGCAGGTAGCTGTTTGCAAAAGTGTGTTTCCTATGAGAAAAACCAATGTTGATGCCCAGATGTGTGTACACACAGGTGTGTGGATAGCCAGTCAGAATGCAACTGACAAAATCCTGACTGTTGCAGCCATTTTACAACAATATCAGACTGTCCATACCACTGTGGGTGGAGCATCTGAGGCTAAGACTACCCAAAAAGTGACAGGTGGAAACAGACTGGCTGCTGTTTTGTTTGGGCATAGCCTACCTTATTGAGTGCAACATGCATCTCGTCCACTAGAAAGACATAGAGCTGACTCAAAAACGCCTGCAGCTGCTCTGGATCTGTGAAAGCCTCAGTCCTCAGCATTTTCTCTCTCACGATTCGCACCACTGAGTACTTGGCAGCAGTCACCACCACAGACAGAGAACAAAAGGTGTTACTGTTATTTGACACATACATATTTTGTCCAATGCTTGTCAGATGTAATTATCTCAAGAACATTTCACATGAAAATGTGTATTTAGTCTTGTTTAGCATTTTTGTGTGACTTATACAGTATTGTACAAAAAATAGAGACCACCTTTCATTTACTTCATTTTCAGCCAAAACATTTTCATTACTGGACTTTTCCAAAATTGAAAACATTAAAATATATAGACAAAATGGGATTCCATGCAAGATGTGGGAGACCACACAAAACTGTCACCATCATATAACTAGTACTTACAGCTGTCATCTTTAAGACACGAGAAAATCAAGGTTTATTCTTGGTTCAGATCTGAAAAAATCCACAGGTGTTTCTGTTCATCCTTCCACTGTGAGAAGGATGGACACAACTCAACGCTATGAAACTGAAAGGATGTGCAGCTACCAAGAAGCTGTTATTGAGTAAAGGAAATAGACAAAAAAGATACAAAACTGCAAATTAAGCAAAGGTGCCAGACCTTAACATCACTGAATGTACTTGAGCTTTGGATCCTAAGAAGCAGAAAATGCAACCAGCTACTAAGACTGAACTGTGGAGATGTGGAAAAATATCCCTGCAAATTTCTTGGAAAAACTGAGAGCACGGCTCACAGAAGGAATGGAAGCTGTAATAAGATGTTACATTTATTTCATTCTGCTTTTTTCTGAATAATTTATTGGCTGAAGGGTCGGTTCTCTCTGATTCTTATCATTCATTAACTCTTTAAATGATTTATTTGGTTTTTAGCTTACTTTCATTTGCTCCTTAAAGGCAAAATACTTCCCAGAGCAGTTGAGTTCTCCAAAGAGCTGTCTCTTGCGCTGCTCTTGGGTGGCAGGGTCCAGAGGCTTGGCTCTGGGGACAAACGCATCTCCGAACATCTGCTGGTACTGCTCCAACACTTGAGCCGCCACACTCGCTATCTGAGCCTGATAGTCCTGTACCGCCTGAACAGCAATCATTTCAGAAGTGGTTAGAGAGGCTTGCCACAAGAGGGCAAAATAGACAAATGGATTGTGAATATAAAATCAAAATATGATCATTGTGCGCATGACAGTGTGTGTGTGTGACAGAGAAAGAGATGAAAAAGAGAAATTAACAATATATGTTAGAGATAGCGTGTATGTGTGAGAGACAGAGTAGATACAATATGTGTATCAGGGTGAGTAGGGGTGTGTTTGCTCCTTTCTTACTCTCTCTGCTCCAGCTGGTCGTCGGGGGAGTGGAGGCCGGGGTGGAATCAGTTCCATCACTCTGTGGCACAAACAAGCCCACCACTCATTAAAAATGTAAGGTTTCTGAAAGTGCTCTAATAAAACGCTGTAAAACTGCACAATTAAAGAAATGCCATAAGTTTTAATGAAAGTGGGTTTTTTCAGACTTCTTGTTACCGTTCTGCCAGCTCCTCTGGTCGTCTCTTTGGAACAAGTGGTTTTTCCAAGGCAATTTCAATAACAATGTATGATCTTGAATCTGTATACATCTGACATATAGGACAGATTTTACCATTAGCTTCAAAAGGTTGAAAGGCTCAGTCTAATGTTCAAACAGAAAACATATTTTTATTATTTTTCTCCTCAAATTGACTGACCTGTCCTTCTGCATTGACTTGTGTTTCAGCGTCTGTTATACTCTCGCATTGGTCCAGTTTTCCTGTCTGTAAACACAGGATATCAATTACCACTCCCTATAGTCACGTTTACCATCTGCTACCAACAGACTCTATTTACCTGACACCATGAATTATTTCAAACATTTGCTTGCTTAGAAGGCTTCTAGATGAGTTACTGCATTGCATGGTGAAAGAGAGTACATATGAGTGTGTGTGTGTGTGTGTGTGTGTGTGTGTGTGTGTGTGTGTTTCTGTCTGGCAGGCGGTGCAGTGTCAGATGCTCTGTTGGTGGCGTGGCTCTGCGGTCCTTGCCCCAGTCCTTCTGTCGCTGAGCTGTGGGGGTTTGTGAGTGGAGGTGGGTGGGGTGCTGAGCTAACGTGATGATTCACCCCTCCGCAACAAGGCTACCAATCTGCCGCTATCACAGCTAATTGCTTTGGGAAGCTCACTTCTGCCACAGATCCGGATCCAATCATAGCGGGATATTAAACACCAAGCCAAGTGCTGCATGGAAGGGCATAAGTGGGCATCTGCATCTCCAAACAGCTTAATGAAGGAATGGGATTAGTAATTAAATCAATGCTTCTACTTATTAACGTTGCATGATTTCTTTGATCATATGCTCAGAGCTACTTAGAAGAGATATTGATTTATTTAATGATGCTAAATGAAAGAAAGGAGAGAGCACTAAACTATCCTTTTAATATACTCCAACTGTCACTCTGACTGGTCACAGATTGACACAAAACACAAAAGAACACTTTCAGGAACTCTTTATGTATAAAGTAAGAAAATATCATTAAGCTGCAAAGTTAAAACGGAATTCCATCAATTTTCAAAATTTTTGCCTTTAAACTAAATTGTCAGAGCTAAACTATTTTGGAGGGCACCTCCTATGAACTAAATCTCTGTTAAGTTGCTACAGTAACTGAATAGCTAGTTGAGGAGCTTGTTGCTGTTTACCTCATGACTGACTGAACTCTGCAAAGACAGCACAACAAAAAGACTTCTCGTGCCCTTATTTAACTAATCTGAAATGAATAAAAATGGAATATATGCCATACTCTATGAAATCTGAATAGCATCTGATGAAAAGGCATTTAAAATGGTACCTTTCTAGGCACTTCTTTGTTATCTCTGCTTGCCTTGAGGGTCTCAAAGACTTTGCTGGGTGCTGCCTTGCAGGAGCCCACAGAGGAGGGGGGACGAGGCCGGCCCTGTGCAGCTGGTGCCTTCATGCTCTCCCGCAGAACACTCATATTCCTCTTGGTCTTCCAGCATTTCAGAAAGTTCACACAGAAATTGCAACCAAACAAAGAATATTGCTCTCAGGTATAAGGGGAAGTTTAGGATTAAGAGCATAACAGTTAAAGAAGATGTGAAAAAAACTCATCTCTGACAGAATCCCACACATAAGTAAACTGCAAAGAGACAGGCACAAAAGTAACATTTCTTAACGTTTCCCATATAGTCCTCAAATTTGGTACCCAGGGACAGTATTAACAAGATGTGCTTCTAGTAGAAAATGACTTTTATGAACAGTTGTTTTGTACATGATAATCTAGTAAGAAAACTAATTTAATGAAGATGCATATGTAATGACATGATAAAGAAATGGAAAAAAATGAAAGAAATGAAAAATGAAAGATTCTAATTCTCTTCCAATTCTTCTCTCACCTTCAGCAGCAGATCAGAGTCATAGAATGGGTGGAGCATATATGCTCCACGGATACACTTTGCACCAGGGTACAACAACGGTGCCAAGTCCACATAGGCCACTCCATGAAAAGGAATCTGGATCTCATCCTCTGCTTGCTGTACAAAACAAATTCACAATAAGATCATAGATGTTCTCTGCATATATGTTTTTCCTGATGCTGAAAAATGAATAAATTGTGGCTAATGGGTTTTTGATTAGAAATCATATAAATGAAAGAGTGGTCTCTGACTTTTGCACAGTACTGCACATTCAAAAGTTTGTAGACACCAGCTCATCCAGCATTTTCTCAAAATCAGTGGTATTAATAGGGAGTTTGTCCCTGTTTTGTTGAAGTAACAAGGGATTTGACTGTATTCCCCCATTAAAGCATTAGTGATGTCAGGTTCTGATGTTGGGTGATTAGCTCTGGATCACAAACAGCACTTCTACTTATCCCAGATATGCTCTGTCACTTCAGAGAATGCAGTTCCACTGCTTAACAGCCCAATGGTCCAGCCAACACTTGGCATTAGACATGGTGACCTTAGGCTCACGTGCAGCTTCTCCAGAGCACCCTGTTCTAATGACAATGCTCTTCTATGTAGTCAGCAATGGGTACATATTAAAGTAGCCAAATTCACGAAATAGAAGGGGTGTCTGGATACTTTGGGACATGTAGTGTGTGTATGTATATATATATATATATATATATATATATATATATGAGATTCAAGCACGAATGCTGATCTAAGAACATCAGCCACTTTCCCCCCGCTAACATCTGGCAATGCCTGAAGTCATACAGCTGCATTCATTAGGAAAAGACAGGCATAAAGCAGTTCCGGATTCTTGTAACTCTCATTCTCATATATTTATAAATACTCAAATGCATGTGTCATTTATCTCCAATGTATGAAAAATAACTGGAAATGAACACAATATAATCAGAAAGAGATGCATAGTTCAGTTCTGTTTGACAGACTCTTCTTACAGTTTTTTCTTTGCAAGCTTTCCCCACAGCTACTTTGGTAGCTCCAGCCTGAGGAGATCTCATAACTTCCACAGGCCACAGCCTGCATTCCGCAATCCTGCGGGTCAGACTGAAAGACAGGACCAGAGATTGTTGACACCAGAAGGGCAGGTTCAAAATGCCATAAACGGAGAGACTTCACTTAAAGGGGAATTTCACTCTGAATTTTTTAAATTTCTGCATTATAAAATCATCATTCAGAGTTGTTTCATACGAAATGCCTTTCCTAGAGAAAGTTACAGAGTCAGACTTGTCCAATGGTCTCAGATATTGTTTGATGAAACTTTTGAGATGAGCTTTTAAAGCATATTTTTAAAACACATTCTTGGTGGAAAGGTACGTGCAAGGCATTGTAAAGCAAAATGATACCCAAATATTATTCTTTTTAGATTTACTACTATTTTACGATTATCAACATACACTTTATTTATATTACATATACATATTCATATTACTTGTAAAATTTCATATAAAATATATTAAAAATTGCATATAAAATAGACATGTAGGTTCAGGTGGTCTTAGATAGCAAATTAAATGGCTATTTTGGCACTGTAAGCATTGCGACCACTCTGGCTCCTATCACCACCACTATAAAAAAAAATCAGACTCTGTAAGTTTCCCTATAATGCACCATTTCACAAATACTCTGAATGACTTTGTTTACATCTCAACAATTGAACTACGCAGACATTAAAAAAAAAACCTTCAAACCTTAAGGGCAGGCCATACACTTCTATCAGTTTCTCTCAAACATAATTTACATATTAGTTTCATAGTACCACATAATTCATATCAGTTACTGAATAAGTCATAATAATTAGTCATAAGATTAATAACTGAATAATAAGCCCAGAGTTTAAGTTCACATATCTATAGAGGTCTTTAGCGAGTATCTCTAACCATGGACTCCTTGCAAATAATTCTATGGCTTAGTTGCAACCTTAACCTATGTGATAAATCAAACACTTTAGGAGCATCTGCATAATACAATATAAAAGCAATATAATATTATAATATAAAAATACAAAATGTACATAAATGCACAGGAAAAGTGTTCTCCAAGAAATGAACTAGAGAAACCTGTAGCAGCAGTTGAGTAGGAGATCATTGGGCAGATGTAGTTTCACTCACCATGCAGCTCCACCTGCATCTACAAAGCAGCGGCGCTCTGTGTCCCAACTCACTCTCTTCCTGTTACACTCAGCTTCGGCTCGGAATTCCTGATCCTGTTACACACATAGTAATCAACTAACCCTGCAGGCACCCATTACAAACACTGAAGTGGTAACTTTGAAATATCTCTGAGCACCTCAATGCTAGTAAGGCCTCCATCTTCTAAATCAGTGAGCTCGCCTTCAATGCAGATGCCTGGAATGAACTGGGCATCTGGGGCTAGGAGTGGACCAATGGGCCATTTTTTGGGTCTGGGTACAGGCTCTCTCTCGCCACCCATTTTTAGTACACCGTTGGAGAACAATAATATCTGCTCTTTCTGAAAGAGAACAATGTGTAAATTATTAAGACATACATAGATGGAAAAACCACCCATCTCATGCAGATGAGCAGCATAAAAGGAACGGTTTGGTCAAGAACTGAATATATCCCTTAGTTTGGAGCTTTGAAGCAAATCAAGAAGTCAGCAGTATACTTTGAATGATTAAAGAACTAAATCCAACTGAACCAAACATGCTGTATTAAGTATACTTAAAAAGTGTCGTCCTTCTGACACTCAGTACCACTATAGGCTTACTCCCTGCTGTGACACAGGCAATGATGTTGACCAATCACAGTCAGGGAAAGGTCTCAGAACAAACAATACCTGATTAGAAGTTTTGTTAAGCAGCCAGGGCACACTGCACTGTATAATGTCAAACCACTGTGTTGTTTGATCAAAAATTTGTTTTGCTTCAAAACATCCTTTTTTGTTTGAAGTATACTGCCTGGCCTCTGTCACTCAAAAAGATTTTCGCTGACATAGACTTCCATTACTTGTTACTTTCATTACTTGTACATGTCTTGTCTGATTGACTACATTTAGGGTAAAGGAAAAAACATGTAATCTTTACTTTTAGCCTGACCATTCCTTTAAATAGGCAAAGAAATCTATGGAGGGACACTGAAGTGCCTAAAGACATACCATTTTCTAATTTATGTAAATCTTAACAGGACTAGACAGTGCTATGCTCTTTTCTGTCCTACCTCAGCTGTAAGGGGGACTTGCAGAGCAGCTACATAACTGCAAGAAGGCCCAGGGGCAGGGTTCCAGACATCAGGCACAGAGTATGCTGTCTCCACAGTGACCGCCAGCAGATTAGACTCAGAGAGCTGGGAGTCTGAGAGCAAAGGCTCTGGCACACTGACTGTCACTTCCAGTGTTGGCTGTGAAAAGAGCAACGCAAATACAGTGTGGGTCTTATTGTATTAATCACCATCATTAGAGTAAGAACTGGAAAAAAAATTGGGAACCTTTTTTTCTTTAAATAGGAATAAAAAGGCAGAAAATGCCAGATTTTTGTGATTTATGATTCTGGATAAATATGTTCACACAAAAATAATGCCAGGGCAGGCAGTATAGCTAAAGAACCATCTCGAGTGGGTGAGAGTGTTTGTGCACTCTGTTGTATGTTGACTGTATATGTTGCTACTAAGTAGAAAATGAAATATTCACCTATATGCAACAATGCCACCATGGTTTATCTACTAAAATGCTTGTTTTCCCCATTCCTTTACCTTAATTCCTCCATCTTGTAAGGCAATCTCAGAGGGTGGTCCAGGTGCAGGATGAAGCACCACAGTGGAAGAGAAGCTCCACTGCCCTGTAGTTCAAAAACACCATTTACATTTATGCATTTGGCAGACATTGTCATCCAGAGTGACTTATTATCAATTATGTTACAGACATAGGCAAGTATAGAGTTGGGAGTCTTGCCCAAGGACTCTTATTGGTGTAGTATGGTGTGGTTGCCTCTGCTATGTAGAGGGGGAGCGGTGTTACCCACTACGCTATACTAACCATTGCTTTTTTGTTCTCTTTTTTATAAAATAAACTGCTTCAAGCCTCCTTCCACATAGCTAATCTATTTCCATTAGGCCAGAACCAACTGCAGGGCAAAGATACCACATCTTACAGTGTTACAAACCCAGTCTAACAAAACAATTTGAAAATGCTTCAACTAAAACAGTGACAAACAGTGAATGAAAGCTACTGGCCAGCAATTAGCATGATCCCAGTGGTCAGCATTATCTAAACATTAAGTCTTTGGGGAAGATTTCTTACGCTTGTAAGAATGAAATGAGCAAATACGTAAGTTTTACCACGCAACAGAGGGAGCAGATCAGCAATAGCCTGGCCCAAAACAGAAGTCTTCTCCTCTTTCTGCTTCTTCTCCTTTGGTAAGACTTCAATCAATGTTACTAGGGAGACACAAAGACAGATTCCATCACTCCTTTCTTAAGTGTTTGCCTTCCAAACAAAGGGATTTAACAGTAGGACTATACATTAACACACTGTATTGTGATTACCTTAAGCTACTATGTACTATGTATTACAACATTATTTGCAACGGGATAAAACTCAATGGATGTTTATTATTTTCATGTGATTGTGTTCAAGATTTTGATTTGATTGTGTTCAAGACTTCTAAAAGAAAATGTGTGTGTTCAAGATAGAGCTACATGATTTTAACTGAATTTACAATTGCCAGAAGTTTCAGGAGATTTAAAAACTGTGTGATCTCACAGCATACATTTAGACCACAGCACACGGCCCCAACAAACACCAGCATTTTAATGTACAGTAATCATTCTACTGCAGAGGCCAGTATTGCTACTGTGCTACGTATCACCCTAACTGAAACATAGTTAATAAGATGTGAAAGATTAAACAAGCTGATTGATTAACTGACTGACTGGTTAATTTAGAAACAGAAAGAAAGGCGACATAAAGACAAAAACCAGAATTGCTTATTGACTCACATATTATTGGTTTATGTGCCAGGTCGTCCAGAGTATGGCCGACATCAGAACATTCAAAGCTGCAGGTGAAGTTGTAATTCACACACTCATCCACAGGCGCATCCAGCTTCTGTGAGTCTCCCAGAGCAATCCCGTTAAATTCAACTCGCACAAAGTTGAGAAAAGGCTCGTTTTTAATACCTCTCTGTAAAGTAATATTGTGAAATGTTTGTCATAATTATACAAGAAGAATCTGTATAGAAAAAAGCATATGAGCTTTAATGATTTTTGCTGAACCCCAAAAAGCTCCTTATTGGACACAGAGCATGGTTTAGGCTGTAGATGGATTCAGGTTTACGGCACACACATATCAAAAGCCTATATATAGACTATAAAGCATCAGTGGAATCAAAATTTCTTCATAATTAAATCATTAAGATGTAAACAAGATTATTTAGAGCAGTCTGATCTAAAATGTACCATTCAAGAGAAACTTACAAGAGTCAGAAATGTTCACAGTGGTGGTGATAGGAGCAAGCCAGCCAAAATGCTTAATGCTTCTTAAAGGCCTGTTGTGCCTTAAGAAACCAGCCAAAATGCTTAATGCTTCTTAAAGGCCTGTTGTGCCTATTATTTTACAGTAGAGATAAGCTTATTTTTATCTGAAGCTTATCTGATTCATGGTGTAGAGCTAAATGCAATGTGTTGTGAAAAAATACTACTTTGAAATACTTTGTTTACATCTCAATGATAATGACGCTCCGCATTTATGAAGGAGCTTTAGAGGTGTGGGATGCAAACCTGTGCCAAAAGACAATTGTTGCTGTTATTGTTGTCGTTGTTGTTTGGTTAGTTTAAATGTGGTATGTGTTGATTGTGTTATTTTGTGTTGGACTGAGATAAGTTAGCAGGGTTTTGTGAATCTAGCGTAAGATGAAATTGGTTAGAAGTGACCTGCCTGCTCCCCAGCCATGTTTGTATGTGCCTTTTCTGTAAACAAAAGGGCATATCACCTACACAAACACCACAATTTAACTATTTCAATGTCGAAATAAACTATTTATCCCACAAAGCAGTGTGACTGATTGAACCAATCACTTTGCCTCCATTTCAAACAGTTTCAACCATCTTTTGAAATTGCATATTTTCTCTACTGATTTTCTGTTTATATACATTTTGTTATTGTTGTTTGTATAAGACTTTTATGTACATATATCTTTTGCCTTTTTACCTTGTTTGCTAGCAATTTGCTTAACAGTCATAGTGCAGTGAAACTCAGGTTTTTAAGAAAGATTTATTTTTAAAAAATATATCAATCCTCATATGGATTATTTTACCCATATGCCTGTGATATACTTTTGCAAAAGATTTCCCAGTTTTTTGTGTGAGGACTCCCTGTCATGCCTGAAACAAATTATGGACAAGCGTGAAAAAGAAACGTTCTTTTTTACACTACCTTGTAATCTATCCTTGTAAACAATATTAATGTATAGGGATGGTCGTCCAGATGTTTTTATATTGTGCAGCAGCGTGTCATGATTACTTGATCTGTGTGTAGTTGCCTTTACAAAAAAGATGACTCTTCAAGTGTTCTTTAGTAAAGACAATGGTTCTATTTAGAACCATGAGTTTTATATAGAGCCATTTCATGCTTAAATGGTTCTTTGCATAGTGAAATGGAGAATGAGTTGTATATAGTTCAATACAGGATCTTTTGAGAATGGTTCCATTTACTACACAGCCTTTTCTCCCTTTTGATCACTCTTCTCCTCATCTCTAAAAACACATCATAACAGCGAGACTGGTGCGGTATGCAGCTATTCGACAGAGACCGATTCGTGCTTTTCTGGTGCCAAACCACCTACGTTAGATGACAAAGATATCTGGTATTGGTGGAACTTACTTTCAGGATTGTGTTTAGTTTTTTCTTTACAAAAAATGGCGTAACAAAACGCCTTTCTTAAAAACAGTTAGTTAAAACCAGATTGATTTACAGCTTCAGAGAGCACGTATGCAAATCAGAATATCGTAGCTTGTGGTAAGCCTGGGCAAATGTTTTATAGCTTAATGTTTTATAACTTAGCGATTATGAGTGGGATTTTTACTTGCGGAACCAAACAGCTCTATACCTGAATCCATCTTTTTTTCTATGTAGCTAGTGCGTTAGCTTAGCTATGTAGTTAGGGAGTAACTGTTAGTCAGCCGTTTGACATTCATCTTAAAGTTATTTCAGTCTCGTTTATCGTAGCTACAACATACACAAACATCTGCGTATCTTACCAGATTATTTCCTCGTAACACAGTTATGTGCACTGGAACACTGGCAGCGCCTGGATAAGGATCCATGCTGAAAACTCAAAAATAAGGATGCTGAAAAAACAAGGATCCAATGTGAAACAAAAGCTGATAAATTAATACAACTCTGCTGTTATACCACGCTTCAGAATATCCTCGTCTCAAAGCGTGTACACGTCCCCATAGCAACGGCTTGGTCTCGCGATGTCCACAGGCTAGTGTGTTCGCGTTTGAAGGAGTTTCCAAGGGGGCTTCTTCCGTTGGAGAGACAGTGAGAGAAACCGACAATCGTTTCTGTCTTCCAGGCGTCTGAGGCTTATAACAAGGGCATGGGTTGTTTTAAAAATATCAACACATACAGTCTTCGAGCAAAGTGTTCTGAAAATATCTAACATTACGCTGTTTCGGATGAACACAAGGGAAGTTTCGTTTTTGGCGGGTTACTTTAAAACAGACATCTGGCATGGTGGACTAACTTAATCTAGCTAGCTAAATGTGTCTAAAAGTCGTCTTCCGTAGCTCGGAAAATACGTTTCTTTCGATGTACGATTGTATGAACGCAGTTTTTGTTGTTTAAGGTTACGTTACCGGATATATCAGATATTTTATCGCCGAACATGTCTGTAGTTTTGGATGAAGTAATTAAAATATGCAAAGCAGAAGAGGCAAAGCTCACTGAAAGGATCCGACAGTGCAAAGACATTTTACGTTCAATGTAAGCCGCATTGATCATAGATGGTGTGTTTGCACATTATTGTATTTCGAAGATGTGGGTACAGGAAAAGGCGTAGCTTTAATTTTGAAATGCCTCGTGTTTTTCAGGAAGACGCTTGTGAACGATAGCAGTGCTATAGACGAATCAACCAGCCCTGATGTCAAATATGATGGTAAGAAAGAATCTTAAAGGGAATCTTACGCAAACATGGCAACAATGAATGAAGCCAGGTGGGCTAAATACGTTAGTTAATGTGACCATGCTTTCTTTTAGGCACCTCTGACTTTAATGCATTCTTCACTATATACAATTTGGCCTTATTATTCCTTTAACCAGTTAATCAGATTAACCACGTATCATGTGTCATGTTCTATTCTCAGACATGCTTCTGAAAGATCAGCAAGAAATTGAACTACTGGAACAAGTTCTGAAAAGGGCATTAAAAATTCGCAGCGGCTCTGCAGTGCCCAGAGACCTTGGTGCTGACTTGCATGAAAAAAAGCAGTCAAAAACCAGTCACAGTAAAGTACCCATTAAAAACACTGTTAAAGATGCTGATAAAATAAAAACACAAACGTTATCATCCTCCACTGAGGTGCAAGGAAGAGGTCACCAGCGAGGAGGATCACTGAAAGGTGTTGCTGTATGTGGACCTGTTCCTGTGAAACCTGTACTAGTCAAGAGAGGACCGTCACCTCAGGCCACCACCAGAGGGAAACTGCTGGTAACAAAACCTGCTCCAGCACAGGTCTTGGAAGACCAAAAAAGGTCCTGTCAGCCAGCCACTCATTCCAAAGACTCATATAGAGAAATGATAGTAGGTGTACCTTCTGAAGACAAGGAGTTAAAAACAAGTAGTCAGATGTCTTCTCCAAAGGAGCAATGGTGAAATTAACATTTTCTTTTTATTAAAAACCAGTAACTTTATCCTTAACCTTCATTAAAACCAGAAAAAATACTTGATGTTCTTGTGCTGCAGGGTGCCTTCCCCATTGTTGCCAGTATGGAGAGCACAAAGGGCCAAAAAGAACAGGTTGGTCTATTATTCTGATCTAAATAAAATCATATCTCAAAAATAAAATTCCCCAGTAACTAACTTTTGCCATTGACCATGGTTATGTGATGGAAATATTTAATCAGTGCTAATTTGCAAAATGGTCATTTGTGTCTTTCTCATCAGTCTGTGGAATAAAGTTCTGACCCGACACCCCAAGCCTGTACCTGAGCGATCTCACTTTAAGGAGAGACTTATCAGCACCGTATCCTTCCTAGAGTGAATTTAGATGAAGGCTGCTGCTTCTTTTTTTTTTAATTAGTCAAGTTAAGATTAAGTGACCCTTATTAGTCCCATAATAGGGAAATTTCACCTCTGCATTTAACCCATCCGTGCAGTGAACTGACTGGAGGTTAGGAGGTAAGGAACATTTAATCCAAAACTGGTTAAACTGTTCGGGGAGCTGTCGACACCAAGGCTCGAAGAAGAAGCTTTTTTAGTTTTGTTCAAGCTTCTACCACACCTGAGTCAGGTAATCAGCTTTTTGTTCTGGTTTGGCTTAGGGGTATTTGGAATGGAACAAAAAGTTTGAATAATGGCAGTTCTTGAGCATTGACATGAGAAACTCTGTATTTAAAAACCAAAGAGTTTGGCTAGAGTGCTGTGCCAACTGCTTCCAGTGCAGTAATATGCATAGAAGTTAGCTAGCTTTTTGCAGTTAGCATTGTGCACATTTTGTAATGCTGACTGACTGCTTTTGGTCTTATTTTTATTCATTGTTAGCCAGTATTTTGCATTTTTTTGGCAATATGTCTCTGTTCATTAATAATGTGAGTAGTATTTTGAACTGCAAGAAGTGCTGTTGTAATAAAGATGTATATTTTTTTACCTTCTATGTATTAATACAAATATTTGAGGCTGCAAAGAATATGGTCATTCTAAATGATGGCTGAATTGGGTTCTTGACCCTTCACTGTACCAGTTCCCAGTGGAATGGCCCTCTGACCAGGCAGCAGCCGGAGGAGCAGAGCTGGACGCCCTCACACAGCTGGGGCTGGACCTGACTCACTGTTATCATGCTGAGCTCCAGAACTGTCAGCTTTTATCGGCCTTCGTGCCGGGCAAGGATCCAGGTACCGGGGGGGGACGGAGGAGACGGAGGAGACGGAGGAGATTGTGAGAGTTTATGGCAGCAGTGTGTAGGAGGAAAGACTGAGAGATGAGCATTGCGACCAAAGAGAGTAATATGGTCTGAAGTGCAATTAAAGTTTTCAAGCTGCTTGTTCAAAGAATTAAATGATCTGGCAGTCCTTTAATGCCAGAGAAATTATGCATTGGGTATTTAGGTATTAATAGGCAGCCTTGTTGGCACCACTTTTGTGATATCCTGGCCATGTAACCTGTTTCAAATATGTATGTGTGTACAGAAACATTGATGGAGAGGGATTATGAATCTTGGCTAATGCTGGAGGGACTGGAAAGAATGATGGCCAAAGTCATTAAGCATGCTGACCACCTTAAAAAAGGTAAAGATGATACTGAGATTGGACACCTACCCATCCCCTCATTTTTCATTTTTTGAATCTAGAGCAGTTGCATTGAATTTGTAAGTCCTGCTCAATAGATGAAAGAATGAGAAAAACTGTTAAGACAGAGTTAAACTCTCCAGTTTAAACTCTCCAGTAGTGACATGCTTATGGACTTTTGGATTTTCAAACTGAAAATACTCCCACCAATTTCTCTTCCTGAAACAATCCCTATCCCATGTGACCTCACTACGTTCTGGGAGAGTCATATCTGTGAGTTCCCTTGTTTAAGACTAGAACATAATAAATTACTTTTTCCTTGGAAGAAGCTTTGAAAATAACAGGCTTGGATGTAAGCCTACATTTTGAAAGAGCCCTAAGAGGTATTTTATGTCATCTTAATAAGCTTAAAATTGGAACAGAGCATACAGAAATGCACAGTCAGTCCATTTTCCCAGCTTGTCAATTGCTCTGAACCACCTTCTTGTCACAATATATTGTTCCACACTGTTTCGCTAATGTTTCAGACATTTCAATGATGGAAGATTATATTTATTGGTCCTTAAGTAAAGTGCTATGTATTTTCTCCAGATTGGGAGAGGAAGGTTGGGGGGCCACTGTTCCCGCTCCGTACGAGAGGTGAGTGGGGTGACCTGAAGACATCCTGCCTGCCCCCCCTGCTATTCTACAGCACTGAAGCTGAGTTGGAGGAGCTGGACACTCTGAGGCTCCGAGTTGATCAGCTACAACTGGAGATTCGCCTGCACCAGGTTAGAGCCAGTGCTCGATGCACCTCTCAGTATCCAGGACCGTTGACAGTACATATTTACTTTTCATTTACTCACTTCCAATAGGAGACTTTGGCTTTTACCCTCAGCTGTCAACATCAATTAACATTGATCATTTTGCTGAAAAACAATGCTTATTATGGACCAAAAAAGCAGTATGCATTAATTTTAATTGTAATGCTAATTTTAAATATATTTCTGTATAATTATAAAATTTATATGTCAATGATACACTGTTTCAGCCAGGAAAGATAAACAGGATAAACAATAATTCAAATTTAAACTGACTCGATCAGAACATTTACAGGGGTGAAGCAATTCTTGATAGAATACTTTGTATGAACCACTTTGCCTAATTAACATCACACAATTGATGTTTTTTTCATGGTTTAATGAACATGAGGTTTGGACTTGGGGGCTGTGAAAGAAAGTAGTATGATGTGATAAACTGTCTTAAAGGTTTTAGCTTTCAGCTGATAATTGTCGTGTAGAGAGTGCCAGTGCTGATGTTCAGTAATTTTCACGTACATATCTGCCTGTACTGATGCCAATATATATAAACACTTATAAAATGTAAAAACTGGAATTAGATAAACCTGGATTATTGTTACAGAGAAGTGGAACATCTATTTGTAGGTGGTTAAAAATACACTAAAATAAAAAATAAAAAAATTAGCATAGTATTGCTGCATCATCTAAACATGCTGCTGTTCTGGAATAAAATAAATACATCGTATCATTTTAAAGTATCTGTCAAATCAGCAAATGAGCGCGTTTACACACACTGAATAATCCAGTCATAATCGGATTTCTGTAGTTATCTGGTTATTCAAATGGTAATGTAAACAGCATTGTCTGATTTCTTAGATCTGAGTAAGGACTATAAATCCGATAAAGAGCTGGATTTTAGCTCCGTAATCGTATTTCTCAGTGCATGTATGCTCTTACTCGGATTTCTTTTGGATTTCTCAGTCTGCGCATGTGAGAAAACAGACCGCAGTACCAGAAAAAGCTAACAGCATTTAACACAGCACGAGATGGCAACAAAATGATCAGATTACTTACAAAATCAGATTTTCTGAGGAAGACGCAAATGATCATCGGATTATTAAGTGCATGTAAATGCACTCAATGTCTGCTGATACCAATATGATTCCAATATCACTGTGGATCCCTAATCAAGAATGTAGCTCTTCTTTCTCTTCATGTAAGCAAACAATGACAAATAAGATCATTTAAGAGCTTATCAATTCCAAATTGGACACCTATCAAAGACATTTAAGAAACATATTTGCTCCAAATGTGTATAAAACCATTGCTCAGAGGAGTATAGTTTTCACTATTTTGTCCATTCCCTGTATATATTTTTTTTTCTACAGGCCATATCTGATACTCTCACACACAGTCTGACCTCTCAGCAGTCTTCATCTGAGTGTCCCAATGCTACTGCACTACGTGGCCAGTATTCACTCCTTGGAGAGGGGGGTGCACGGTTTCCTGCCCTGGTTTTGGACTCTGAGCCAGACCAAAAATGAACAAAGACTGCTGTTCAGTATTAACTGGACCTCATGTCTCTCAGGACACAGTAGTAAAACCGGACCCTTTTAGGACCCTGAGAACTGATTTGAGGTCATCTTCCTAAACATCAATTTAGAAGAGATTTTTTGTGAGCTGCTTGTGTCTGACAGATGTTTGCTCAAATGCCTCTTATCTACTGTGTTAAATGCTGGGATCTGAGAGTCTGCAGCTGCCCTGACGAAGCAGGAATAAAGCTGCCAGCTGGTGTTCTTCTGTCATTAACGGCTCTATCTTCCTTTTGCTAATGCTGTTTTTTCCCCATTACTGCAGGAGCTGATTTGGTAGCTTACTGAAAGCTTTTCATCCTAAGGCTGAAAGTTTCTCTCACAAATATAGCAATACATGCAGAGTAGCCTCATGGGGTACATGGTGCTGAGTTATCACCAGCAGAGAGCACTGTGCTTATATTTTGGTCAATCCCTTTGTATTTTATACTCTGGGTATGGCAGCATATTCTGGACTTTATTCAGATTCAAATGCAAATTTGAAAAAGGCTAGTTCAGTTTTGTTTTTAGAATTGCATTTCCCATATGAGTGTGTATTATTTAGGATATAATTCAAATGCAGAATGTGCGTTTGTGTTTCTGCGCATAAGCTGTAAAGGTTAATATGGAAAAGCAAAGTGAAAACCTTTCATTTTCATTGTTTTAATGGTCTGACTCTGGCATATTAAAAACAGAATAACAAGCACCCATTTCAACTACATTTCCTTATCATGATGCTTCAGTTCTGCCAAAATGAAAATGCAATTGCAATCCTGTTTGCATTTGCATTTTTACTATCAACCAGGCGTTCCTGTCAAATAAATGCTGTGGGTGCGACAGCGGGAGGGACTTTTTAGTACAGGGTATGTTTTAAAAAGAAGCAACAGAAAAGTCTAAACTGTGGCGGTACTTGAGCGTTAGGAGCTGCTGCAAGTGACATTTTAACACTCGCCAACCAGGCCGAGGATAATTCTGTTCAAAGTCATTACATTGTTTTGTGTGGAAGTGACACAAAATACCGGCTTCGGACAGAGACTCACAGGACTGTTGGAGAACCTGAACGGCCAATGATGGATTAGGTTAGTGTAGTGTTTCCCAACCCAGCTCCTGGAGGAACCTAACAATAAAAAATGTGCAGGGCTGTGTTTCTCCGACAGTCGTGCAAGCCTCAGACCACAGTGTCACTAACATTGGTGTTTGTGCCGCCACAAGCTCTCCTAGTGGGTTAAGAATCACTTCCACACAAAGCAACAGCTCGTTAACAACCACTGACTATTTGTAATGCATGTGTTAAAGCAGGGAAGCACTAAAATGTGTAGGGCGGTGTTAAACCAGGACCAGGGTTCCTCCAACAGTCCTGCAAGCCTCTGCCTGAAGCTGGTCACAAAGTCCCAAACATTGGTGTTTGTGCAGTCACAAGCTCTCCTAGTCAGTCAAGAATCATGTCCACACAAAACAACAGGGAATGAGTGAACAGAATTATTCTTGGCCTGGTTGGTGAGTGTTAAAATGTCACTTGCAGTGGTTGCTAATGCTCCAATACTGCCTCAGTTTGGACTTTTTGTTGCTCAGTTAATCTACTATTAAAAGGGACATTCATGAAATACAATAAGAACACTTTACTTCTGTTATAATAGTGGAATAATGTTTATTTATTTGATTCTTTGAAAATTTAGATAAATTTGATTATTGTACATTTAAGATGAAAAGTAAAGCTAATATTTGGTAGCAAGAGAATTTATAGCAAAACATTTTAAAGAGCCTTCCCCTTGAGGATTTCACAGAATATATAGCCTATACATAACTTTTCATATGCTCATACATTGCCGTTCAAAAGTATGTATAAAAATATAAAAACAGTTTGTTACAGATACATGTGTAACATTTGTATTATGATGTAAAGTGTAAACTGTTAATGATGCCTGCACTCCACAACTTAAGCTGTGACTAATTTGTATGAAGCTGTAAATTTTTTGGGATGTATCCAGAATGATGAACAGAGCTGTACATAATGTCATAATGACTGAGAAGGCCATATAAATTAACACAGAAATGCCTTGTATTTGAAAAGTGGTGATTAAATCTTAAGACAGATGACTTATCAGGGAATGACTATAAAAAATTACAGTGTGTTGTTCATCTTCTGGTATCTAGCTTATAGTATTTCAACGTACAATGTGCAAACATTTCAGTAGTGTACATAAACATTTATGAATGCATAGACTATGGTTGTTGAAATAAGCAAATAAGCATTAGAAAAGTCTTTTATTCATTGAATATTTGCTGCACTGCAAAAAATATCTTGGCAAGTGAAATTATTTTACACCTAGTCTCACTTTGAGTGTGAGGTTATTAGATTATTTACTTGCTTTAACTCTGTCACCTTCAGTACAAGAAAGTACACCAACATCACTGAGTTGAGGCCGTTCTTTGTGGTGGAATGGGCTAGAATTCCTCTAAGCTGACGTTGGGGGGCTAATCAACAGTTATAGGAAATGTTTGATTGCAGTCATTGCTGCTCAAGGGAGATCACACCGGTTACTAAAAGCAGAGAGTAACAAACGTTTGCTAATAAAGACACAGAATGTTGGATTGCACTGTTCAATAAAAGAATGAGGAAAAATTACATAATTGTGTGTCAATTTGTTGTTTTTGTCTGGTGTTATGACGCATCACATTTAGGTTTTAACGGTTCCTAAACTTTATAGCACCGCTGTAAAAACAGGTTTCATGTTTTGTCCAAATTCCGACCACCAATACACTCAAAAAGAATACGAGTGAAGGTCTGATCTGCTTTGATCTAGAGCACATTTGGGCGGTTCATTACCAATTAAAATGTGTGAATTTTCTTTTGGTTGTGGTTGTCCATTATTTTGATGTGCAATGCAAGAACTGATTACGTCTTGCAGGACAGCTTAATATGTTGCCAACTTACTAACAGTATGACTCATCATGTTCTTTGCAGTATAATGAAATACTGGCACCACTGTGAAGTATATGCAGTGCAAGCAGTTCATTCTATCCTTGGCTTGTATGAGTGCTAAATCTTTTCTGGTGCTATAAGTGTTTATTTATGCCAGACCACTGTGGCTGTGTGGGGTATTGTAATGCCCTGTGCCCACAGGCAGGTGGCACAAGCTGCTCCAGACTGGTGGGACAGGTGGCACTGGGTTCCCACAGCGGGGCCGTGGGTGGGTGCCCTCCTCCAAACCCCACCCACTCCACTTATGCATGCACTGACTCACCTGCGGACCCAGGCCAGGGAGTGCACCTCCCAGATTGGGCTGATAGGGGGGAAACCAAGACAGAGTGCGAGAAAATCGACAAACAACAGTTGAGAGCCCTGTTTTTAAACTTCCATGTAAACATGCTTTTATTATGTCGTGGATTATTTTATTTGATATAAAATCAGGAGAGAACAAAATTCTGCTTTGTGTTTTGTGATTATGTGGCTTGCCATCTCCATGCCAGTTATGAAGAGAAGGTTGTGCTGTCATTTATGATTATATTTCAAATGATGCCCATAAGACAGGATTTATAATGTAAATCGTGAAACTTGAAGACTCAAAATAAGCACATAATTTGATGTTTCTCTGACTTTTCTCACAGAACAAAATCATTACTTCTTGCCTCAGTGAGGACTGCCAGATGTCCTTAAACAGTTCAAGCTTATTTCTTCATCCTGATTAGCTTGTAGAAAGAGATCACCAGCAAAGGAAAGTGTGAATTCTAACATCAACAAAGGAGCCCCAGTGAGAGTTTTCTGTGCAGCTTTGCTTTTCTGTGACCAAAAGATTCCATCTGTGTGACTGAACCTGGGGCCGCTGTTTCTTCTCTCTAATTTACTAGCCACATTGTTGCTTTCCTTCCTTTTCCTTCTTCTGCCACCATCTCTACCCTGGTCCTGCCCTGCCTCATTTGACAAATATATCTGTGTTAAGAGGAATCACTGACATAGCATCTTGGCAGAGTATCTTGGTTTGAAGAAATATGCGGATAATTTTAACTTTGGCTGATGAATGAAAGAAACTAGCAGTATGCCCTAAATTTCTAAATCAGCACTGTAGTAAAATACCATTCTAAGTACCAAATTCATAGACCACTGACGATTGGGGGGTCAGGGGGTGCCCCCATGTATGAAAAAGTGTTGTTAAGTGCCCTCTAGAGTAGCAAATTGGCCACCCTTCACACAGGAAAAACTGATTGAGTGCCTTCTAGGGTGCCCCTTCATACAATAAATTATGGTGATATGCCCTCTAGAGAAAGAAAATTCAATAACGTGTCTCAGTGAATGCTCTCTAAAATAGAGAAAATGTGATGCAGTGCTACATAGGATGCCCTGACAATGGTCCAAACTTGATATTCCCTATGGGTGCCCTTCCAAAGGAAAAGGCTGCTGTTAGGAAGTGCCCTCTATGCTGCCCCTACATGACTGTCCCAAAGGGTGCCCCTCAGGTGGATAAAATGTGATGCAGTGCTGTAAAGGGCGTCCCTACATGTGTGAGAATGTGGGGAAGTTTCCTAACGAATTCTCAAATGGAGAAAATGTAGTGTGGTGCCTTATACACTATATGGACAAAAGCATTGGGACACCTCTCCAAATGATTGAGTTCAGGTGTTTCAGCCACACCCATTGCTAACAGGTGGATGAAATTAGGCTCATAGCCTTGCTGTCTCAATAGACAAACACTGGTAATAGAATAGGTTGTACTGATGAGCTCAGTGACTTTAAACATGGCAGTGTCACAGTGGTCTAAAGTGCACTGCCACTGGTCTCAAGCAGTGGAAACATATTTTATGGGGTGACAAATTACGCTTCTCTATCTGGCAGTCTGATGGACGAGTCTGGGTTTGGCGAATGCCAGGAGAACATTACCTGCCTGACTGCATTGTGCCGAGTGTCAAGTTCGGTGGAGGAGGGATAATGCTTTGATGCTGTTTAGGCTCCTTAGTTCCAGTGATGGGAAATCGTAATGCTTTGGCATACCAAGACATTTTTGACAATTGTATGCTTCCAACTTTGTGGGAACAGTTTGGGGAAGGCCCTTTTCTGTTCCAGCATGACTGTACCCCAGTGCACAAAGCAAGGTACATAAAGGCATGGTTGCGTGAGTTTGGTTTGGAAGAATCTGACTGGCCCGCACAGAGCCTTGAACCCAACGTCAACCCCATTAACCACATTTGAGATGAACTAGAGCGGATTTGCGAGCCAGGCCCTTTTGTCCAACATCTGTGTCTGACCTCACAAATGCTCTTCTGGATGTGTGGGCAAAAATTCCCACAGACACACTCCACAAGCTTCCCAGAAAAGTGAAAGCTGTTATACCTGCAAGGGGGGAACAAATTCCATATTAATGCCTATAGATTTAGAATGGGATGTCATAAAAGCTCCTGTTGATGTAATCTGTCTGTGTCCCAATACTTTTGTCCATGTAGTGTACTTTGATAAGATTTTAAATTTACCTCTTAAATGCTGCTTACACTCAAAAACATTGCATGGCTGCTAACAAATCTTTTCTGCGTTTTTGCAAGTGGCTGATAAGCTGGGCTAATATCTAGCTAGGATTTTGATGAAATCTCATCTGCGCTGTCCTTGTCTTATTTTTCAACGTACCCTTTAACTGTTAACTGAATTTGATAGTAAAAGTAAGGTAAATTGTTCACACAGTTAAGTTTAAAACGCTCATTCCAACTGTTATCAAATTACATCCAGTTTTGGTTGTAGCCACACCTCTTTTAGAATGTTCAGATGTCAGAGCATCTGTAGCATCCCCATACCAGTTCGTTAGGCCGTGGACGCACAGGAGGCATGGCCATGCGGAGTGGCGAGTGCGGAGCACCATGGGTACGGCTGTGGTAAGAGAGATTTTAATTTATACATAGTTGTTATAGTGCATTTCAAAGATGTATGTATTTGTTATATGTGTGCTACTGTGCTGGGCTGTGAGACAGTTGGAGCCAGTGTTGGTGCTTACCATCAGGGTGAAATGCATGGCTGTTGATGACTTACTTGCTATCTCTAATGTTTAAGTGTTGATCAGTGTCTGGTTTCATATGATTTAGCTTGGGGTAGGATTTTTTTTTCCCCAAATCGATTTGTTTTCTGCGTGTGCGTTCTCTCTGCCGATGCTCTGTTGTAGTCTATCTTCTAGTTCTATCTTTGAAATTGTGCTATAGTGTGCAAGGTATACATGTAATATATATATATGTATACATGTAGTATACAGAGATGATACTATACATATATATATATAATGTTCATATACATGAACGTTTCTTCAAGGTTGAAAAGATTAAGATTTACTATTGGTGCATTGCTAAATACTAATGTGTGTACACTGCGAGTGCTTTTAAAGATAAGTGTATCACATTTTAGCGTGGCTAAGGAGCTTGCTAACTAAACATGTACCTGGCTGAGCTGATTCTATGCTAACCTGTAGGGTTATTTTGGAAAGTAAGCAGAAGCAACAAATAAAAATGCACAAAATGCCCATAGAAAGTTTCATGTTAATTACTTTTTCAATAAACCTAAGAGTGACTATTCCTGACTGCTAGGCTCCCAAATCGTAGCTTTCTTACTGATATTGTCTGCTTAAGCATGACAATTGACATTGTCTGCATGAGTGTGTGTTTGTAAAACAAATATTTATAGTTCCCTTTGAAATGTGTATTGCCTAAGAACATGATATTAATCTTAACTGAGGATGAAGACTGTTTCATCATACATGGTGTATCATAGCTTTTTGCACGCTGGTGGGGCCCCATGTCCTGCAGTAGGTGCCCTTTTTATTTTTTCACCCCTGCCCTTCAAACAACCTGAGTCTGCTACTACAGTAATTGAAGAGCAAAGGCAAAAGACATTAAATGGAAGATGACACGAAAATAAACATTTTGTCTTGCTGCTGTGATGAATCGTGCATGGTCACGACAAAAAAAAAGGTCCATTTTGATCTCATGTTGACATGATTGTCCTCTCACCTCCCTCCGGCAGGCCTGGCTGTGTGTGTGTGTGTGTGTGTTATCAGAATCCTATTACAGGCCTGACCCCCTTGATGCCAGGCCTGTAATGGGATTCACTCATTTTCCCTCTATCCTCATTTCTCTCCACCAACACCTTTTGCTCTTTTTCTTCTTTTTACAGTGATCTTTCTTATCCATTCCTTGTCCACCTATCTTTCTGTCTTTCTTTCTTCCTCCCACACCTCCTCTTCATGCTACAGCTTTGCTGGCGTGGAGTTAAAGCAGCCAGAGTTGAGTCATCACAGTCATCAATTACCCTGCGTTTGTGTTCATCATTCAATTTCCCCCTGCTCAGTCGGCCATGCGGTCAGCCCTCTCAGCCAAATGCAGCCTCCCACCAGAGAAGCAGCCCAGTCTGTAAACGGTTATCACAGGAAGGGGGTAAAAGTGAGGTCTCCTCAATGAGTTATATTTAATGATTGCCTTAAATTTTGGTGACTAGTAGGTTAAAAAAAGATTGTGTGGATGTTGAAAAGGTGGGTAAGTACCATATCATTTCTGTATGTCCACATGCTGGGCATATAATGGGCAATGAGGTTCTTTATAGGTCTTTTATATGTATAGAATGACAGGACCAGTGTAGAGATAAAGGTCCTTGAATTATGTTTTAACCTATTGACTCACTTGAGTGTGTTTAAGTGCAGCTTTCATTGAAGCAGCTACTGAGCCTTTTGTGCGTGATAAAATGCTGTCCATAAGAAGCTGCTGAATGTGGGCTTTTTGTCAGTAGATCAAACCAATAACCTTTATGTTCTCCACTTGAACTAAGATTAACTCACAGTTTCAGTCCAGATAGCTCAATCCACAACAAAAACTATGCACATTTATTTGTGTTTTTTTGCAGACATTTTTTATGTTGAAAACAGAAAAAAAAATAGGTAATGCACATGCTACAACTTGTTCATGTGAGCCTTACATCTTAGATTAATAAACATTTTCAGTCTATAAGTCATACATACAGAATGTAATTGGTAGCGCATGTGTTTGTCAATACTCTTCAGTGTAACCTGGGGGAAAATGAATGTAACAATGCATGCAGAGGGTTATAATTTCCTGATTCACAAAGCTTTAGCATCAGTACCTCTGACACTTGTAATTGTGTGAGTTTCTTAGCTGTCATTGGTCTCTGAATTAATTTTCTCCTTTGTGTATCCTCTGAGAGTCCACATAGGGTAGAGAGTTGATAGAACTACACATGGACGTCCATACGGAGCCGCTTTTACAAGCATTTGGCAGTCTGCCTTTGTGTGCTGCAGCGTGGGTGGGTGAGGGTGTGTGGGCGCGTGTGTGTGTGAGGCATGAAGGGATTAAACAGCCACAGTGGGAGGATGGAGAGCTCAGCTGTGCAGCGTTGTGTTGTAGTAATAGACATAGCAAAATACGCTCTCACATGGAATCTCCAGTGTTCAGTCCCAAGCAAAGACGAAAATATGTTTGGGGATTTAAGACTTAACACAACATTGTTGCATGTTTTGTGTAAACTCACATTCATACAGGTCCCTCCTTTTCCTCTGGGACATATCCATTCTCCTGTTTCCAGTAGAAAGATAGCTGCAAAGATCCTCAAAAACACAAGAACAAGCTGGGGGAGATATGGCTTTGGAATGGTTAATTTCCACCCTCCCTTCCTCTCGCTCTGGGATTTGACATCACACCGCAGCTGCAGCCAATCGTCTTGTTCGTCCTGCCCCCTCACTGCTCTTCTTTTCCACCTCCTGCCATTGGCACGTTATATACCACACACAGACCAGTTAGGATAGTGTTCAGTGTGCTGCTGCTGCTGATTCACAATGCAGAGCACGGTAACACAGGACAGCAGAAAGAGACAGGGGCTGTGAGTGGATTTCTCTCTTTCGCGATCTTGCACCTCTTGCTTTCTTAGGTCTAGGCTTTGTCTATTTTTTGTGAAACCAGCGCTGGCTTCCAAGAGCAGCAGAGGCAGTCCCTCTGCAGCGAGGTTTTAGCCCCACAGCTCTCCAACTTTTAAGATGGGCTGCACCACGGGGCACCTGGCTTGCCAGCCCCAGCCCCCTGGCGCTCTCAGCCAGGAGGGCCAATCTCAGGAGGGCACAGCCAAAGTCCCAGAGGTTCTGTCTTCTCTAGAAAGACTCTCACAGGCTACAGGGGGCATGGAGAAATCCTGGTACCGCTGCATCTTCCCTTTCGGCATTATCTCGCTGGTGATCGGGGTGGCTGGCACCAGTGTAACCTACACCTACAATGACCTCCCTCAGACTAAAGTGGTGTCTGTGGTTCTGCTGATTGTTGGACTGGTTCTGGTGCTGATGGCCACTGCCTGCTGGACAGCCCACAAGAAGAAACGCAGGAAAAAGAAGGAAGGAGGTCCCTTTACTGGCGAGCAGTGTCCTCTTTGAGCAGAGATCCAATCGAGGAAGACACTCTGGATTGGGAGTACAGGGGAGGCTCTTAGCCCTGAAAAAGCCACCTCATCTTCTTTAAACATTTTTTGGTCCACTTGTTCACTCAGGTAGCATGAATGCTCAAAGAGTGCAGATGGACACTGTGTTCAGAACACCACCCCAGGGAGCAGTGGAGCCCACCGGACAGGCTTGAGGGTTTGCCGGAGTCACACACACAGTTTACTGCTACTCAGCAGGTGTCTAGTATCAAAACAACTCCGAAGAGAACACACACAATTGTGCACACCCACACAGGACACTTAACACTCGTGGTCTGAAACACCATGTCATTGCTGGAGCCACTGCTGCCGTCAACACCGCTGTCAGTCCCTGGCATTCCTGCCATCAGGCCATGTGGCTACTCCTCACCAGTACCAAAGAAGTGGGCCAGAGAGGGCAACTGGACACCGCGTCGAAAGAGGAGTGCAGCCCCGTCACCATCGCACGTCATTCTCCTGTCCTGTGACACCGTAGCAATGTGTGAGCTTTTTTACGCAACAGGAGAGTGGAACCTGAGATGAGGGCCCACTAGTCCTTACTGGCAGCTGTGGATGAGGAGGGGGGGGGGCATGGGCTGGAGGGGTCGGAAATGTATGTGAGTGTATCTTTGTGTCAGAAGTAGACAAGTGTGAGGCCAGGAAGATGGAAGAGAGCGAGCATGACACCTGCTCTCTGTCCTCATCCTCTGTCAGAGTTTGCAGATGTCAGATAGAGTGCTTTGTGGGTCTGGTGTATTTTCAACAGACTCATTTTTTCTCTACCAAAACTCACTTTGTTTGCATGCACCTTTCTCTGGTTATTAACTCTCAGGATCTGCAAGAACAGCATACAGAGCTGCTTTGTGAGGAAAACGACCAAGGAGGACTATAATAGGGACATAGCTCTAGTGACAAACCCATGGCCCAAAGCCCTGTTGTTCAGCATTTGAAAAAGGGAGTCTTGTCTCCAGAGACAAGACTTCATTTCCTCCCTCACAGAGAAATGGGATTACTGGAGGAAATACGAGAAAAAAACACCCACAGGGGGACACCAGATGTCAGAACTTTCATCAGAGTTTCCTCCCATTCAGTGCCTTGAGCAAACGGGACTCAAGTATGTACAGTATTTTCTTACCCCGATTTCTCTGTCTTCTCTCTCTACAAACCTGTCAGCCAGTGTCAGCATTTCCATTCAAGCTAAGCCCCATTACTGTGTCATTACAGACCTGAGGGGGGAACTGTTCCATGCTGCCCCCCTCCTATGCCCCTATCTTCCACTCTCCCAGCTCATAAACCCCTTCAGCATTACCATTGCCCCAGCCTGGCCCCCGCAATGGCTGCATTTCACATCCATCTTCGTGTCGGAAATACAGATCATTATACAATGTCTGGGATTCTCTCCATTTGGAGAGAGAATTACCTCCGACTGCTCAGTTGTAGACCAATAAAAGGATCAGAGTAATGGAGTCGACAGGTTTGTCACAGCATTGGCTTTTCCTAGCCATCAGTACAGTATTTTCTGTAGTCTCTGCCTTTGAATCAGAGAATTGGTTTGTGAACTCTTGTGAATGCTGTTCATGTGTTTTGGACATTGGAAAAATATGTGTCAAAGCCTCTTACTTTACAGATGAAAATATTTGGCAGGGAGGTGGTTGTACACTGGGTAACCTAATTTGTTTGCCCATATGGTTGGTTAGAAAAGAGTTCCCTTGAGTAATTTGAGACCAGTACTAAGAAGAATCTTGTCTGCTATGTGTGGAGTGATGGTCCAGATAGAGGATAATGCTCTAATCCTGGAGTGAAACATTATTGATCAGGCTGAAATTGATTCCATGAAACAGTGGATCTGGTGCTTAAAACCTTCTTGCCTGTACAGCAAAAGAAACAAAATTCAGTGGACAAAAAGGATGATAAGAATAGCATTAAGAGAAACAGAACCTTGATAGGCGATACTTGAAAAGACAGTTGGTTGTGTTTTTTTTTGTTGAGCTGTTTATGGTTCTTCTCTTTTATTAGGAGTGGTTCATGCTGACAAGTGCCTCAGTTGACTCTGTAGAATGTGTCTTATAGAAAAGTATGTTCACTTGGTGGCCATCTTGGCAATGCTACTAGACAGTTATTTCCAGTCATGCAAAACCAGACCCCATGTCTCTGACAAACATCTTATAAAAAACCTGATAAAAAAATCTTATAAATTGCTTGTAGCTTTGGGCTCAAATAATGCAATTGGGTTGTTCTAGCTACTGTGCTTGAGCAGATCCCGATAATGAGGGGGGCCATCCCTGCTAATAGTTTTACAAGCAAGCCGATCAACTTTTTTTTTTGAAGGGCAGGACTTTTCCTGTAAACAGACGCCGTGTTGAGTGTTATGAGCTTTCCCATTCACATTTTAAACAGCCACCTGTCTCCTCCTTCATAATGTCTCTGATGTGTCATATGTTTAAGCCGTTATAAACTAGGTTTGATAAAGTAGGTTGTGATTTCATGGTTTCCATGAAATTAATTACAAGGGATTGTACCTTTAGTCACGTCACTATTTTGGTCTCAAATGTAGTGCCTTTGTTGGATGTAAATTCTGTAATATATTTAACGCTGCCTTCACATTTTATTATATCTGAATGTCTGACTTCAACAGACCAACTCTTCTTTCTCCTCGGGAGTGATGTATATGCACAGAATGTCTCTTAAGCTCCAAATATTCACAAGAAAGTCTCTGAATGTTGGACTGTACACTGTTTAAAGGGGTACTCCGGCCAATGTTTAAAATGTAACCATTGCTACATCTGTTGAAAACATGCCTACTTATCTCCTACAGTGGTGCCACAGTAGTTCAAAGAGTGAGATTTTCTGGTTAAAAAACTAGGAAAATCCCCTTCAGAATATGTATCTTAAGGGTGAGAAGAACTTACAAGGACAACAAGCTTATAAGCACTACAAATACTCCCCGCCCCCCCAGAAGCTGGTTAATACGGGAGGAAACCAGATAGCTAATGTTAACCAATAGGAAGCAAAATATCATATCTGTATTAATTAGTCTCTATATCAGTGCATTTCCTTATTGCCATAGAGGAGATTCCCAATAATTGTTTGATGAATTTGCGTAATGCATGCTGGGTATTGTAATGAGAGAACATTGATGGACAAAAGACAACAAAACATACAAAATAGTGAAATCTGTCAAAGTGATGAGGCTGAGGGGTGTAATCCTACACTGCAGAATACCACATAACCTTACAGATAACATATGAAATGTTAATCGTCGGCCAGAATACTGCTTCAGATTTAGTGCAGAGTGGAATTGTTTTGATAGAAAAGACTGCAGGGACCAGGAGTGGTAGACAATAGGGGGTAACTCAAACTCGGAATTCATTCAAGGAATTTATATTGGTCAGCCACCCAAGGGCTTGTTTACACAAAACATCCGAAATTAGATATTAAGGAATGAGTCATCATCAATTATATTTAATAAGCTTAAGGAATTATCCAAGAGGAAGGCATGGTAGCCTTCTAATTGTCAGTGAGGGATGGTATGTTTTAGAAATTGTTGATATTCACCAGATGATCTTTCATCTGTGACATAGGAGACAACATAGAGTAGACACACTGTACATGACACAGGTGATATTTTTTCAGTGTGTTCAGATGGAGCTGATTCTGAGAGGCCTCTATGTAAGGGTTGTATAATCAAGAATGGCAGGCTGTAGTGAAAGGCTGTTATTCCACAGGTTCTCCAAGGTCTTCATCACTTGGCCTGTATTCCTTGGGAGCCAGACAGGGAGAGATATAAAAAAAAGGTAGAGTGGAAAGGATAGCTGGAGGGAACTGGGCAATTTCATTGAGAAAAAACAGAGTGGAAGGAACCTGCTGCGTGCTTGGAGTACAGAATCATTTGCAACCAGGGACCTATATGTCTCTCTCTCTCTCTCTCTCTCTCTCTTTCTCTCTCTCTCTCTCTCTCTCTCTCTCTCTCTCTCTCTCTCTTGTTTTGAATCCTTGTTTTAGTACAATGTTGACAGTGACAGATTTTTATAACTGTTGTGTAATATTTGTTTATTCTCTCTAAAAATGTAAAAGGGAAAAGCTACCTCTTTCTCTGGGGGTATACCTTAATCTGATTCGCTGCAGAATATTGACTGTCACTAGCTGAAGGCAGTTATATGCCTGTCTGTGATCTGTATTGTATTCAGCATGTAAATACCAATTACATATATTTATATATTTATACTAGCAGATTTTGAAATTGTATTAAAGAAATGTCAAGTGAGAAGGTCTGTATGTCATTTTTATAGGAGGTAATAAAAACAACACATGATGGTTTATTCAATTGTTATTAAATCCTGAAAAAAAAGAAAAAAAACATGAAGCTCCACTGTTTCACATGAAAAAAGTCAGTACTCTCATACTGCTCTGCTGGTTTTCAAAGATCTATACAGATAAAGGCAGAGTATTCAAAAGGGATGACTTGGTTTCTTTGAAGATCACTTTTGGTTTGTTATAATGTTGCATTCATTATCAATTTTCTAAAATGCCATCAGATCCATTGCTGCATTAAACATTTTCAAGGAAGAAAAAAATCAAAACAAATTTTTTGTGCTTTGGTGTAGAACCTTATTCAATGAAGTAGAATACAGAAAAGAAAAATCACTTGCTAATTGTAACACTGTAACAAGGCCCTATATCTTGGTCCCATCTCGGGACACCCACTGAATACAGTTGAGTTTTTTTTATGTATTACTTTCTAGGCTGACGTTATTTTTTCATTCCTATCCATTTACAAAAGTTATAACAACACTACAAGTTTACTAACTGAGACTCAGAATGATCCCAGAAATTATTTAAATCCCAGAAATTATTTAAATTAAGCAAGTAAAAGTACTTAAATATTAGTGTCTCTTTCCATTGCGTATGTTAGTATATAGTATTTTCTTTAGGTTAGTATTGAGTTGCATGTCCCAGATGACAGCAAAGTCTTCTAAGCTTGTTGGAGATCACTGGTTTGAACTTGATATGTGCATTTGGACTAGTGTCCCTTCATGTTTTGTTTTGAAGTAAAATGAGGGGTTTGGTGAATGTTCTCTAGTTCATTATTATTTATTTGGACCTAAAGTATTGATTGATATTGTACTATAGCTGGATGTATAGCATAGTTGTACTACGTGCTTTTGAATATGGTAAAGCACAGTTTTCATAATACATTAACAAATTATAAAAAAAAAAGGAAAGAAAATCATCATGATGATGATGATGATGATGATAATGATGGTCCAAAATGGTGAGGTCCAAAAATTACTTTTGAGTATATGCACATTTAGCTTTTCATACACAGTATTAAACTCTATTTTCAAGGAATTTGTTGGAGCATTATGGCAAAAAGATAATTCTGACTGTTCACCTGCTTGTATACCTACCTGTACTTTTGTTCAATGTATAGTCTGCAGTCAAAATTGACCTTGTTAGCCCATGCCACCTGATCATATTAAACATGATTCAGCGTAAATATAAATTAAAGGCAATAACATTTGCCTGCCGCTGAACAGTCTTTAATCACTCCTCATGCACTGGCAGGTGGGGAAAATCTTTTTTTGATTTATGATTTACGTTCTTGACTTTTTTTACATTGACTTTTCAAAATATCTGCTGAATTACATGGGTAAGAGGTAAATAAAGTCATTGTGAGTGGTAAGATCTGAAAGGCTTCACTGTAGAAAAAACATAAGATAGAATTGTTCACAGTGGTGGAGATAGGAACTAGACATCCAAAGCTTTTAATGTCTCTAAAAGCTACGACACAAAGTTATTAGATGAAAGATTTAGAAATACATCATACTGATTCCTGATTGGTCAGGAAAGAAGCAATAGTACCCAAATAAAAGTGATTTATGACTATTTTACGACTATTTTATCCAGTGTTGTAGTCAAGACCAAGATGTTTGAATTTTGCAACCAATGAACATCAATGAAGAAATAATACCTAGTTAAGCCACTGTGGAAAGGATCAATTAGATCCTCAACAGGCAGTGAACAGATTGTATTTAAACATGTAGAGAAAGGACTATTTTATTCTGTTTGAAGTTTTTGTTGACATTCAATAATGATAGAAAAAGTTTATCTAATTACCTCAAATGGAGGCACTACACTTAACTGGTCTCGACCCCAATTTCCAAAACTGAGACAAGGCTACAACACTAATTTTATCATGATCAGTATTACATATAAAACTCATAAGACACGTGTGGGTTCACTGGTTGTTTTAGGGGAAAAAAAACTTTGTGTCCCTTTTTTAAATTGTGAGTCATTTGGTTACTTTTGCCTTATGTATTTGTTTTTTGACCATGTTGTCCAAGCATTTAAGACCCCTGGCTCCTATCATCACCCTTGAAAAGAAATAAGAGTCAGTAAGTTTGCCTTGTTTTCAGTGCATGAGCTAAGCCTAGCCCAGTTAGGCTGTCAGTGGAGATTGCACATTGAATACACTGTAGTCTACAGTAAGGCATAATCTGTCTGGCAAAGGAGGCTGTTGTGTTTTTTATAACCTGTCTGTCCTTTCACCTTCCCTATTTTGATCTCTCATAATGATGTCAGGGCCTGGCAACTGCTCATCTATAAACTCCACAGAGGTACGAAGAAAGAACAAGCTGGATGAGAACTGGCAGAGCTTCTAACACCACTCCCACTCAGGATCTATTGGGTTATTGCTAGCTAGCGAGTGTGCTTATCTGCAAGTAGTCTATTAACTTTTCCAACCCTTTACTATGGATGCATATCAGTATCAAAATTAAAAAGAAAATGTAATATGCAAAATGGCAATGTAATTCTAAATTGGACTTAAAGTTTCTCACTCATATATGTTTGGGCTTAAAATGAAAGGTCAAATGAATTAATTCCATTTATCTTTGCCATTTGGTGCGCTAGTATTGACCTTTCATTTACACAAAGATTTCAAAAACATTTAGAGAGTGCAAATGCAAATAAGTTAAATTACATTTTAATTATCATTTTGACACTATTATTGCATAATCACATAAGACATAAATATGCCATTCTGGAAATGCATATTAATTTAATTTCAATAAAGCAACTCATGAAGCATCTAAATCTTTGAGTAAATGAAATGTCAATACTAGTGCACCAATGGCAAATGTAAATGGAATTATTGAATTTGAATTTTCATTTGTAGCCCAAACTTGAATGTACGAGTGGAAAATTTTAATTCAAACTTAGGATTTCATTGCAATTTTGCATATTATTTTTTCCGTTTAATACTGATATGCTTCCATACTTCACCCCCCCCTCTCCTCTTGTAATGGATTCGAACAGTGCCTCCATTAGACAGCAACAGGTGACTGCATAGAAGAAGCACTGTGCCAAAGCATCAAGGAGACAGAACTTTCCCTGCACTCGTGTTTCCCTACAAAAGAAAGTGAAATGACAAATGAAGCCCAGTGGCTGGGTAGCGTGTGAGCATTTGAACAGGAAGCGCACTGATTCAGGGAAAAGGGGAAAGGGCGAGCATGGGGCAGAGGAGGAGGCGACGGCTTTGTGATGGTCAGCACAGATTACAGGAATTCTGGCCCACCAACCTTTTCCTCCCTCTCCACCCAGTCTTGGCTCTGTTAGCACGACATCTCTTTCCTGCCTTCACATTCACATGTTCACTGGGGCAGTGAGTTCTCCCTTCACCATGACTGATTATTGGTTTTTACATTGGGACAACTACATTGTATGGCAATATTACCAAATGGAAATTCCTTCTCGCAACAACCTTTTCTGTACTTGGCAGGCGTGGAAATAA